TCCAAAAACATAGATGCATCTCACTCTTATATTCACGGGCTTTTCACTCATCTGTCTCAGTGTGAAGATAAGGTCTTGAGTACTTCAGTTTGCTGTGAAGCCACATTGGGCCTCATCATACCAGACTTCTAAGTCTCTGCTCGAGAATTCTAGAGTAACTTTTACCAGGAACGCTGAGGAGGGATATGCCTCTGTGGTTTTCACATTGTCTGTTATCACCTTTTTTTAATATAAACTATTGGAACAATGCCTGTAATCAAATTCATTGGAAAACAAAGACTGAAATGGTTTGGTCATTTATTGAGGATGAAAAATATGATGCCAGCAACAAGAGTGTACAGCATGAAAGTAGAAATGCCAGGAGGTAGGGGACGACCAAGAAGAATATGGACTTGTAGGAGTCACTGATGTCTTGAGGCTGCACAGTATCACAACATACCTGGCAACTGAGCGTGCCCTAGCTCAGAAACTGATCATCTGTTAACCTGCGATGCCTGGAGGCACAAATAAAAAAAATGAGCAAAATAAATTGACACATGCCATAATTGAATTGTGCAAAATTGCATGCTTTTATCTTCATTATTAGCTGAGAAACACCATGTGATGCTTTACTTGTTGAATGCCCCTCACATGTCTTCTCCTTGGAACCAGGTAGAATATATTTCATTCTCTCTTTCTCTATCTGTCCCACTCCATCATCTCTGACTCTGTGCCGCCCCCCCCCCCCCCCTTTCTCTGTCTTTCTCCCTTCCCCCTTTCTACCCTCTTTATGGCTGCGCATCTTCATTCCTCTCTTTAGTTCTCCCTCTCATCCCTCTATCTGTTTCCTCTCTGTCTCTGTCTTATATTTCTTTCTAGCTGTCTTTCTGCCTTCTCTCTTCTGTATCTCTAGTTTGCTTTCCCGTCTTTCGCCAAAACACTACCCCCAACCCCCAGTCATCCCAATATCCATGACCAAGTTACTATATTCTGCTGGCTTTTATGATGTTAGGACAACAGGTACTAATTTACTTTCATTAGTTCCCTGCTTATTTTCTTCCTTCATTGACATTTCCCATTCCTTTTAATTTAGTCTGAATATTGTAATTAAGCAAGGTCGTGACTTGCTGTAATCCCAAGTTTCCAATCCATATGATGCTGTTCCTATTAGTTTAGTTTGCAGAGGTGATGAAAATGCTATGGATGGATACAAAGTATAATAAAGAAGTCTTGGAAGGGATTGACTCATGAAGGAGACTTATTATCCGCATCAGAAGAAAAGAATCTATATTAATTAGTGAAATTTTGAAAACTGTAGTATATCCTCGTAACAGACAAGTTGGAGGAGTAGAGAGACAGGGAGTGACCAAAGGAAAAGATCCTGGATAGTTTGGCATCATAACATGGAAGCACATCTGTTATAGAATTGATTTGCATACAGTAAACAAGACAGAATGTTGTAGATAGATGTGATTACTGATGCCACACTTCAAGGATTTTAAGAAGAAATCCTCTTTAGAACAGACAAGAAAACCAAAAGAGCCACCCAGGATGCAAGAAGATGTGGAAACAGATCACAGACTTACATAAACTTCAGTGAGAGAGGTCACAAGTGGTTTTAGTTTTATTGCTTTGCTTTGTGAAGTGTCATTGTAAATGGTTTCTGCTCCTGAAGGGCAACAGCTTGAAGGTATTAGTCATCATTTAGCTCTTGGTTTTTCATAGGGCTTTATGACAGACATGCATGATTAATGTTTGTTCAGTAACATATGGGTGTAATTGCTGGAGAATAGTTTTTATAATTAATTGTCTTTTATTTAGGAGTGGTGATTTGTGGTATAGAAGGCTAGCTGGCCATATGTTTAAGAATCCTGAGCAACTCCCATGTGAGAGATTTAGGTTCGAATCCTCAGTAAGGTTAGAAGGGGGAAAAATGAAATTTTATCCTGCACAGTCATAGCGACTGTAGTAACCATCCAGCCCTAATCCTCTGTCTCACCGGCTCTCCAGTCCAACAGTCATAGTGATGTACTAGCCATGCAGCCCTAATCCTCTGTCTCACCGGCTCTCCAGTCCAACAGTCATAGTGATGTACTAGCCATGCAGCCCTAATCCTCTGTCTCACCGGCTCTCCGGTCCAACAGTCATAGTGATGTACTAGCCATGCAGCCCTAATCCTCTGTCTCACCGGCTCTCCGGTCCAACAGTCATAGTGATGTACTAGCCATGCAGCCCTAATCCTCTGTCTCACCGGCTCTCCGGTCCAACAGTCATAGTGATGTACTAGCCATGCAGCCCTAATCCTCTGTCTCACCGGCTCTCCGGTCCAACAGTCATAGTGATGTACTAGCCATGCAGCCCTAATCCTCTGTCTCACCGGCTCTCCGGTCCAACAGTCATAGTGATGTACTAGCCATGCAGCCCTAATCCTCTGTCTCACCGGCTCTCTGGTCCAACAGTCATAGTGATGTACTAGCCATGCAGCCCTAATCCTCTGTCTCACCGGCTTTCCTGTCCAACAGTCATAGTAATGTACTAGCCATGCAGCCCTAATCCTCTGTCTCACCGGCTTTCCTGTCCAACAGTCATAGTAATGTACTAGCCATGCAGCCCTAATCCTCTGTCTCACCGGCTCTCCAGTCCAACAGTCATAGTGATGTACTAGCCATGCAGCCCTAATCCTGTGTCTCACCGGCTCTCCGGTCCAACAGTCATAGTGATGTACTAGCCATGCAGCCCTAATCCTGTCTCACCGGCTCTCCTGTCCAACAGTCATAGTGATGTACTAGCCATGCAGCCCTATTCCTGTCTCACCGGCTCTCCGGTCCAACAGTCATAGTGATGTACTAGCCATGCAGCCCTAATCCTCTGTCTCACCGGCTCTCCGGTCCAACAGTTATAGTGATGTACTAGCCATGGAGTCCTAATCCTGTGTCTCACCGGCTCTACGGTCCAACAGTCATAGTGATGTACTAGCCATGCAGCCCTAATCCTCTGTCTCACCGGCTCTCCGGTCCAACAGTCATAGTGATGTACTAGCCATGCAGTCCTAATCCTTTGTCTCACCGGCTCTCCAGTCCAACAGTCATAGTGATGTACTAGCCATCCAGCCCTAATCCTCTGTCTCACCGGCTCTCCGGTCCAACAGTCATAGTGATGTACTAGCCATGCAGCCCTAATCCTCTTGTCTCACCGGCTCTCCTGTCCACCACCACAAAAGTGGTAAATACATTGATAAGTTTTTCCCCTACAGTGTAACCTTGTAGTAAGCTCATTGCGTATCCTTTACAGGACGTTGCAAAACCAACCCCAGCATTTTTTGGCTGTTGTGGTTTTTCTAGGCAAGTTAAGATCCAGTAGTGTGCCATTGCTTTCTGGACGGTCGGCTTCTCGATACCACTGTTGAAACCAATGCAAGGCACAAGTCCTGCAGCTGGGATTGAACCTGGCATCCTAGCATTAAGAATTGCGTTCACAACACCTAAGCCACTGACACCGACAACCTTGTAGTACCTGATTCCTTGACAGTGACATGTTTTACCTTGAAGAAATAACACATTTTGTTGTGATATCTTATTGCTTTAACTTCTGTATGTAATCACAGGATAGTTTGCTGACCCAAGCCAGTCTTGGGTTCAAATCGGTTTTTTTTTTTTTTTTGCAGTTTTTTTTGGGAACAAGGACATGTCCTGAGAATTAAGGGCAGCAACATAATGTTGATCGAATCACACATTAAGTGGTGATGTGGCTACAAAATATTATCTGGCAGCATATTTCTGATACAGCAGTTTAAAAAAAAATTGTCATTTATTTTTTTTTAATTTTTTTTGTTTTGAAAAATGAGTACCAGATTACAAAACTGATAAGTGCTTTATGCACTCAGTATTTTTGTAACTTATTTTTTTTTAACCCTTGTTTGCACCAGTTATGTTTGTAGTTATATTTTTTTCAACTTATGTTCCAAATTTTTTTTTTTATTTTTTTATTTTAAAATAAAAACTGTCTGAAAAGGAAAAAGTCAAAGTCGCAGTTATGAATGAGTTTAGGCAACAGATTTCTTGTTGATGATCATCGTCATGTGCCATGTTGAGTAACAGCTGGCCAGTCTTGGTTTGCCATCTCACAGAGTCTCAGACCAGTGGTTGCTTGTCCCATTTGTGACACATGGTTAAGGTATCCAAGTATTTATTGGTCTAGTATTTGTCTTCCCCTGCAGTTTTCCTGTCACGCTGGTAACATTGCAAGCTTTTTTTAAATACAATTTTATTAAGGTCATTCATGTTGTGTTTGTCTGGGCAAAACTTTGCTTTTAGGTTTTCCCCTTTAAAAAAAAGGTACCTCACTAAAGATTCAAACATATGTCTCCTGAATGAAAACCTATCATTCTCCATCGTTTGGCCAACTGCTCAAATTCCTTGTTTTCTTTTGTTGTAAGTAAGATGTCAGCGTGCTCGTTATCACAGTTTCATAATTACAGCTCTCCGTGTGTGTGGGGGGGGGGGGGGGGGATTACACCCACTGACTACCGAAAAGCATGTTGTGAGAGTGGACTAATTGGGAGCTTCTTTCAAAGTCGGAGTGCATCTGCCTGAGAGGCAAGAAACCAACAGTCTGCATGCAAAGAGAGTCAAGTCTGTAAAACAGATGTACACTCAGCACTTAGGTTCTGGAACGGGACTGCGCTCCAGAGGTGAACGAACAACAAGAGCTCTCTGCCAGAGTTTTCAGCTAGTGAACACGAAGAAGAAGGATTACATAATGCTGGGTTTGATTAAGCTGCCTGCTGTTTGTCAGCAGACTGCTTTGCATTGATTTTGATTCTGATGTCAGCATCGCCTTTTCAGAGGCAGTGACAAACTACTGATGTAAAATTACTCAGTAAAACCACAAACAGTCAACAGCTATGTTTTTTTGTAAAGGATATGCACTTATTTAATTGTTTTTTGTTGGACAGCAGTACCTTTCTTTATTTGATATTATTGCATGTGAAGAATTAACACCTTGTCCATGTCTCCTTGCAGGATATGAGCAGCCAAAACATGTACGATTCAGGTGTGGCCTTGAATGGTCTGTCTTGTTTCATCACCCCAGACCTGGCACGTGACCTGGCCAATGACATCATGACCCTGGTACTGTATGAATGTCATTTGTTGTTGACTACTACATAGATTATTTGTTTATTACCGTACAGAATTATTTTTGTTGTTGCTGCTGTCTCCACAGTGGGTTTGGTTGCAGTGCATCCATTTCCTAGTTTGGAAATGTTATATGGTGATGTCCTAGTCTCATCCAGAAAGGATGAGAGCTGAGCCTCTGAGAGCTAAGTGTCTGAGAAGAAACAAAGTAAGCACAAATGTTAACATCAGCGGCCCTGAAATCCCATGCTGTAATTGTGGAAGACTTTTCTTAAGGCAGGCGGGTCATGCTAGGCACACTTCCCATTGCCATGGGCGGTGAGTCCCATGCCTCCTCATAGTGCAGTATAACGCTATCATCTGGAAAAATTGGAAAGGTGCCAGTAGAAACGAATAAAATAGTCTCCAAAAAAGTGTGACTCTCATGCCATCACTTAAACATTTGTTAATTGAGTTCTAATATGGCTTGCTGCAGTCATAAACAGATCATCCGTAACTGTAATTCTAAACATATTGTCATTCTGCATGTCTTATATTTGGTGGATGCAATACAGTTTAGTCACTTGAGGTGAAAGAGTTCTTGAGAGTTATTTAAAAAGGAAAAAGAAATCTTGATACACAGAAGTCAATCATAGTCGGTAAGCAGAAGCTGAGAAAATGTGATTTTATAGAAGAATGGCAAAAACACTACTGAACAGATATACATTATAATAGTCTTGAAAGAAATTAAGTCGCACAAACGGTTGTTTACCTATATGATAAGTTGGCAGTCTGCAATCTTTATTGTCTTGAGAATGGAAAAACAAATATATCAGGATAACAGGAAAGAGAGGCAGGGGAAGACCAGGGTAAAAGATGTTTGTCACCATGGCATTAAAAAACATCTAAATAAAACTGTTGGCATTACAACCTAGTGACATAAGACCATTAACAGGCATGATGTTCAGTGCTACATTTTGAATGTTAAATTAAGATTCGATATCACAGCACTTGGGGCATTCCCAAAAGTGCTCCATTCCCATCTTCAGCAAGTGCAGGGTTCCAATAAAAAGTAACTGTCTGATTATATATCCGTCTCGTTCCTTGAGCGCCAGCCAGATCCTCTGTTCATTCCTCACAGCATTGTTCTCCTCAAACTGTGGTGCCACATGTTGTGAATTTCAAGAATAAGTTTGTCTTTCTTCACTATAAAGAACATTCAAACAGATTATTGGACAGCTGGGAATCAGTGGGGTTTATTCACTGAACTACCGCACTGAAGTCCAGCAGGTGGAGAATTGAATCTCACCAATGCATGTTGCAGTGTAATGGCTTCTTCTTCTTCAGGTTTACCAGCTGTAAAATCCGCCGGAAAGTCTTGGTTGTCTGTCCATTTCTGGACTTTGGCCTTGTTCCAGCACTCAAGTTTTGCATGTACATCTGTTTTACAGATCCGGCTTGTTTGTATGCAGGCTATTACTTCCTCACCTTTCAGGCAAGTGCACTTTGACTAAGAAAGAGATGTCAATCCAGTCTGCATTGGCCAGACCCCTAGTAGACAACCTCTTTCTAGGATGACTGTGGAGGTGTAGGCAGGAATTGACTAGAATGAGCTGTGGTCCTGGTGCAACACCATGGGTGGTTCAGCACTTCTGCATCTCATAAAATTGATACCATTTGTATTTTGATTCAAAGTTGTACTGTCCAAATGATTATACAGCTTAGGGGAGCTGGTTAAGGCATTGTGTGGGTCACAAAAACAGCAAATTTGGGTCAGGTCAAAAGTTTTTTGAAAGTTTATTCCTACACACTTTAGTATGTCTTCTGTCAGATTCAGTACTTGTTTTTGTTTACAAAAAAAAAATTAAACTTTAATGCAATATTTTACATTTTACTGAACTAACATTAGTTGTCAGTTTTTTTAATTAATTGAAAATTGTTATGAAATTGGTATTAGTCAAATCCTAGCAGCGATACTTGCACAAAATGATAATTGTGTTTTTATCTTACACTGTTGTAATAACTATTATTATTCCCCCCTGCATTGTTCTGGAAGTTTTGGGACCGTCGAGTACCAACTTTCTAATAGAAAACTCTTTTACTCATGCCAACAACCTTTTAAAAACTTCAGTGTACGAGTCTAAACATGACCTTACTGATTAGCATAAGCGTTGCACAATTCCCATTGGCTGAAACTGAACACATGAATATCTAGTTCTTCAAGATGGCAGATTTGATCAGTTATTCACATTGATGAACGCCTGATGTTCTCAATTGAAAAATGCAATTTTTGTGCACTTATGCTGTACAAGTCTATTGCAGTTCTTTGTGCTGGTAGTCTGTGCAGTTTATACTGAACAGATAGTCCAGTGCACTTTGAACTGTATAGGTAGTCCAGCGCACTTTATACTGTACAGATAGTTAGTATGCCTAGTCCAGTTTGCTTAATATGAGTTGGTAATCCTGTTTACTTTTGACTATGTTGGAAATCAGCTGAGCTTTATATTTCCAGTGTGCTTTCAGCTGTACTGGTAATCCAGTGTATTTTCATCTATACTGGTAATCTTGTGGGCTTTGAGCTGTACTGTTAATCCAGTGGGCTTTTATCTGTACTAGTAATCCAGTTTGCCAGTGTGCTTTCATCTGTATGGGTAATCCATTGTGCCAGTGTGCTTTCATCTGTATGGGTAATCCCGTGTGCCAGTGTGATTTCAGCAGTACTGGTAATCCTGTATGCTTTCATCTGTACTAGTAATCCAGTGTGCTTTTAGCTGTACTATTAACCCAGTGGGCTTTTATCTGTACTAGTAATCCAGTTTGCCAGTGTGCTTTCATCTGTATGGGTAATCCAGTGTGTCAGTGTGCTTTCAGCAGTACTGGTAATCCAGTGTGCTTTCAGCAGTACTGGTAATCCAGTGTGCTTTCAGCTGTACTAGTAATCCAGTATGCTTTCAGCTGTACTAGTAATCCAATATGCTTTCAGCTGTACTGGCAGTCTAGTGTGCTTTTAGCTGTACTGGTTAGGCAGGCTTTTTTCAGCTGTACTGGTAATCCATTGTGCTTTCAGCTGAAGTAGTCCAGTTTGGTTTCAGCTTTACTGGAAATCCAGTGTGCCTACATATGTATTTACAATCCAAGGGGATTTCAGCTGTCTTATGGCATTAAAAGTTATACCTGTCAACAGAGTGTTAACACGGTTCTGTTACACCATTTTATACACACCACTTATTTATGAAAGTACTCAAATATTTCGACAGCAAGCATTAATCTATTTCGGGGCTACCATAGCATTGCAGCTAGAAGCTGGCCTGAATGTTCAAATCCACATTGAGTCACTTTATTTTTTTTTAAATTGACCTTTGCTCTTAGGTTGACCCAGCCTAATATGGTTACCACATAATGTCCTGGAAAGTAAAATGGCTGGCTAAATGCATCACTGGCATGAAAAGGGTCTTTTACTTTCAGTTTAATTTATTTTCTATTGTTAATTTGCATTAATATGTTTCTTCCATGTGCCCCCATCCAGATGACTTCCTCCAGACCGTACCTGAGAAAGAAAGCAGTGCTGATCATGTACAAGGTGTTCTTGCAGTTTCCAGAAGCCTTGCGTCCAGCATTCCCCAGGCTGAAGGAGAAGCTAGAGGATCCTGACCCAGGTGGGCACTGTTGATAAACATATGAAAAAAATACATATATATAAAATCCTGCAATAGTAAATAATTTATATATATAATTTATAAATATATATATATATATAAATTTAAATAAGAATGCATCACAGAATTGCATTTTCACTTACTTTTTTTTTTTTTTTTTTTAATGATTTTAAAAAATGTTAATTTGTAAATAAATTTTTTCTAATCTTGCAGACATTAAGATGTTTGACTGAATGAAGTGGAGTTCCAGTGACACCTTTTTCAAATCACTAAATAAGTTAGAAATCAGGAAATTGTTTTTAGGGAATTGTGTGACACTCACAAAGGAACAAGAGCACAACAGTATTTGCACGACCATCTCTACAAATTAAATATTTACTAAGTTTGTGACTACAGATGGTGCAGTTTTTCAACCAAATTTTTAGTTACAACTGGGGAAAAAAAATTATGATTTTTCAATGAAATCTTGATTTTCCAGGTGTGCAGTCAGCCGCAGTGAATGTCATTTGTGAACTAGCTAGGAAGAACCCAAAGAATTACTTGTCTCTGGCACCTCTATTTTTCAAGTTGATGACAACCTCAACAAACAACTGGGTTCTTATAAAAATTATCAAACTGGTTAGTTTTTCTTTATTAATTTTTTGCATTTCCTGTCTAAGTATTTTGCATGAATTATTTGTTTCGTTGTATAATATTCTTTACAGTCACTAGCACACTTTTCTGTCAGCCTGGTGATCATGTGTTCAAATCCTCATCAGAGATTCTTCAAAATGACCCGAGATCCCAGACTGATTTTGTGAAAATTAGCATCAAATATTGTTCTAAGAAGTTGCCTGTGTGGTTTCCAGGACTCTGTTTTGGGAGAGAAAAGAATAGATCTGCTGCCCCCTAACAAACATGTTGTAAGATATCACTGAGTAGAAGTTTTTCTGAAATAAGATATGTGGGGCCATAAGACGCAGATATCGCATCCAAGCCATAAGCTACGACATTTTATTTTTATGCTGCAAGGTATTTTATGATTACCTGATAGCTTTTCATGTCCCCTGAAACAAATCCTACAATGGGCACTTTTCACTTGTTATTTCCAGTCTGTTTGTCATTCTTAAAAGTACTCTTTAGTTTAAATGTGACTGGTTATTAGTTTAAAGATTTTAGTTGTTTTTCTTTCCTCTGTTGCACATATAGTGTCACTGGTTAACTGCTACACAAAGTGCTATTTGACATCAAACAGCTTCTTTCGAAGTCGGAGTACATTTGTCTGAGAGGCAAGGAACTAACAGTCTGCATGAAAATTAATTAGACTTGTGAAATGTGTATGCATGTGACACACATTTTCTGGAACAGGACTATAGTCCAGAAGTGGACGAGCAACCAGAACTTTCTGCTGGAGTTTACAGCTGCTGAACGCAAAGAAGAAAAAGACATCAAACAGCTTTGTCTAGGGAAGTTGAAGTAAATACTTTGTATGCAGCTAACCGAAAGTTATTTATGCCAGCAGTGAGAATTAATCTACAACTAATTAATAATGTTTATTTCTTTTTGATCATATAGTTCAGCGCACTGACACCTTTAGAGCCAAGACTGGGCAAGAAGTTAATTGAGCCTCTTACAAATTTAATCCACAGGTATGTCATAGTGAGAGATAGTTTAACCTTTTAAACTCTTTCTCTACCGGAAGATAATCACATCTGGCACCAAATAGGGAAAATAATCATTACAACAAATAGTTTGATCGCATGGCTTTACCTCTTTCAGTCCCAAACAACCCATAATGTGCGATAAGATAATCCTTGTGAGTCATAGCCAATGAATAATATGTTTTTATTTATGCTTTACATTTGGTCAAACCATACTCTAGAAATCTGGCTACCCAAGCAGCCATTCGGCTGTGTTTAGTCACTGTCTAGTATTTATAATTTTTGTCCCACGTGAAGATTTCCTATGAAATCTTCTAGTACCAAAAGAGTTAAAAGGCGGTGGAAGTGTTTGTCTTGTCTATATTGGTCTAAAGTTGACAATGTCTGTCATTGCCATAATGATGTAAAAGACATGTCTGCCTTTTCTATATTGGTCTAAAGTTGAAAGCATATCTGTCATTGCCATAATGATGTAAAAGCATGTCTGCCTTTTCTATATTAGTCTAAAGTTGACAATGTCTGTCATTGCCATAATGATGTAAAAGACATGTCTGCCTTTTCTATATTGGTCTAAAGTTGACAATGTCTGTCATTACTCTGATGATTTGGCAGTTGACAGTGTCTTCCCTTTGTTAAAATAATCTGATAGATGACAATTCCCATCTTTTCTTTAACAGTTGACAGCGATTACATTTTTTAAAATTTATAACAGATTTTTAACATTAAATAAATACTTAAGTAATGCAGAAGAATAAACGCTGAAGTAATGCAGGGCAGCAGAATTCCTAGTGTGCTACAAATTGGTACTTGTCTGAAGCATGTTAAGGAATATAGATATCTCAGAAGTATATTCTTGGAGGACAGGAGAATAGATCGGGAAATAGAAATAAGATGCCAATGAGCCAGTGCACTTATATACCAACTACACCGCTATTAAGACATCCAAACATAAATATGAGCACCAAGAAACAAATTATAAACAGCCTATTCATACCAGCCCTGTGCTACTAGTACTAGACTTGGACATTATCTAAGGCTAACCTACGTAAAATTAACACCTGCAAATTGAGATGCCTGAGAAAAGCCGCCAACTTAACCATCCAAGACAAAGTTAGAAATATTATCAGACAGACTGTAGGAAGAACACCATGCAGCACATTCATTAGGAAATAGAAGATCAAATGGTTTGGTCATTTAGTAAGAGTGCATCCAGAACAAATACCAGTGCAGGCGCTACACAAGAAAAGATCTGAAGTGAAGGCAAGAAGCCACCCTAGCAGAGCATGGATTGATGACATTAAAGAGCTTCCACATCAGCATGGATTGACAATAGCCAGTGCAGCTCATCACGTAATGGATCGCAAACTGTTTCTCCCCCTCAACACTTAATGGCAGAAGTGGAAATTGATGATGATGATGATGATCACATTACCCACTTTTGTTAATAATATAATAATTGGCAGTGTCCGTCTGTTCAAAATAATGTTGACAAAATTAGGCTTTTCTTTAATGACTTCATAGGAATGTTGACCTGTAATGTCTGCACTTTCTTAAAGAAAACTGTTATTATTATTTGCTGTTTCTTGAATATGGTAGATATAATGAATAATGGAAAATAATGTATGCCTTTTCTTATGTATGTTATAATGTCTGTCTTGTCTTAAATAACAGTTCAAAATGTTTGTCTTGACTTGAATAATTGAATAGTTGACCTAGTTTGACTTTTCTTGAATCTTAGGTAACCATATTTGTCTGTCTTAAATGATATATTAATTGATTACATTAGTTGAGTGCATTGTTTAATTTTTCTTTATTACACAGTTATAATTGGTTACCACCATTGCAAATGCACAACCATTTTTCTAGGTATGCACTTTCAAGATCTCATAGGCTCTTCATAAGTTTTTTTCTCGGAAGCTGTAGTGCTTTTTCTGATGTGGTGGTTCATTTTATCATTTTCAGAAATCCTCCGCTGGTTCTATGCTTTTCTGGTGCATTGGTTATTCAATTATTTTTTTATCTGACATTGCAGTTTTGAGAAATTTTTTTGTTTTCATTATAATTTTTACTTATTGTTATTTTTACATTTTCATTGAAAGAGTGCTTTTAAATAGTTGAAAAGAGTTAGAAGACCGTTTTTGTCTACACATATTATTATATGTATTAGCCCCATGTTTTTTGTAGACTATTTGGGAATGAATTGGGTATGTGGTTAATATCATGTGATTGGTAATATTAGTCTAATAGACAAGCAGTTTAATAAATTTATGTTATTGTTAATTAGATCTTTTTTTGGCAGTTGAATTAAAAAGAGTTAATGAAGGATCCTTCTATTTGTTTGATGTCAAACAACCATGTCCATCTCTTTTTTAACATAGGCACGAATCTCTCTTAGCTTCCCTTTTGTCTTTCAATGTGGCCATGTTATTGCTTGGCACTTTTGCGTGAAGCCAGCAATCTTGGAGTTTCTACTGTTAGCCTTCTCTGAAAGAATACATATTTATTTGTCCACTTTGAGCTAATAGTGTCTAAAAACTGTTTTATTTAGGAAGATTGTGTTGCTTTATGGTCTCTGATTTTCACTTTTGTGAATTCCTTACAGGTTAACTAAGAAGATTTTATCTGCACATTTTCTTCATTTTGCCAGCACATGGTTTCTCTTTGATTTATGTCTCTCACTTTGGGGAATTCAATATACCTTAATTGATATGAGGAATTGGTTTGTCTTGCCTTTGAAGTATTTGCTAAACATGACTTCATGGGCAGACCTACATACACGTGGCGTCATCAGCTGGAAAAAGGGAGTCCAATCACAGAGATGATGGAGGCGGGTGATATCTGTACCAGTGAACTGCAACAGTTCAGAATGTTGAATTCTGAATTAAGAATCGACATCATAGAACTCGGGACACCCCCATAAGTGCTTCATCCCCATCTTCAGCAGTAATCAAAGTTCCAATTCTGATGGCACATTCAGAATGCTGTATGGACAGTGACTTATGTTCCACAGTTTCTGTTAACTTGTTTTTAACTCATTTTACCTCTGATGAGCAAGGCAGGAAAATAAGCACTATGGAAAATCCATGCATGCATTTCAGAATGATCAGACAGATTGTGGGGACAACACCTTATGTCAAATTTATTGAGAAGATCGGATGTTTTGGTCATCTCATTAAAATGCAGTAACTACCAACACATGCGCTACTCCTTAAAATATGGAGCCAAGAAGATGAATTGACATTAAAAATAGAAGTGGAGGATAACTTTCAAAGAGGCTAAGTGCACAGTGGAATCTGTCACTAAGGAAGCCAGATTTCTTTAGAATAATGTGTCCAAATGTAAAAAGTAAAAGAACACTATGCAATGGCGTGAATTCATAGGGAAGAGCTCACGCCACACCCTACCTTGCTTGGGACTGAAAGAGTTCAACTAATAAAAGGGCTGAAGTTTACATCAGTCGAATGTGTCACATGTTGAGTTTGTGTTATGCCTCATAATAGAAATGTCCATTTGATTCTTGATTCATTGTTGTTGTGACTGCTCTGACAAGCTGGCATTATATAAATACTGCTATTATAACGAAGGCAACATTTAATTCTGTGCTCAAACATGTATAGATTTTATGGTTGCATATTTTGAATGTTTTAGGAGTTTTTCGTAATTTTTTTTCTCCAGCTGTTAGTCTTCAGTTTCTCAACTTTTCATTCTTCTGTTTTTCCTATTATGCACTCTACCTCAATTCTTGTCATCTTTAGTTGTGCATTTTTTTTTGTATCCCTTCCATTTTTGTTTGTCTGTTGCACACATTTGCAGCTTTGGTACCATAATGTGATGTATTCTTCTTCCGCCTTTCTATCCCCCCAATGGAGCATAGGCCCTCAACCAACTCACGCCAAGTCGTTCTATCCTTCGCTATTGCATGGAGCTCTCCCCATGTCCTCCCCATATTTCTAACTTCATTCTCCAACTCTTTTGTCCATGTGTTTTTTGGCCTTCCTTTATTCCTATGCCCCTTTGGGTTCCAATGCAAAGACATTCTAGTTATGCTGTTCTTCGGTTTTCTCAATGTGTGTCCTATCCAACGCCAGCGTCTTCTCCTCACCTCTTGGTCAACTGGAGCTTGCTTAGTTCTCTCCCAAAGCTCTCTCTACATTAGTTGTTCTATCATATCATTTAATTCCCTCTATTCCAGTTAATGAATGTCTGTAATTTTTTAGTAATTGCCTTTGTTGTTCTCCATGTTGTGATGTATACATTCTAAACACTTTTGTAAAAAAAAGTTGTGCGGTTAATTTTATAAAAACTGCAATGTATATTTTTCAGTACCTCTGCGATGTCCTTACTTTATGAGTGTATCAACACAGTGATTGCAGGTAAATTATTGTATGTTTCTTACTGCTTTCCTCTTATGAGTATGTTGATGTTAACTTTTGTGTTTCCATTTTGTTCAATGTTATACTGATCTTGAGGGTTTCCATTTCTTAATGAAATTTTTTTTACAACTGATTATTTTTTTCCTGGGCTAAAATTCTAAGATTTTTATTTGGCGCTGTTTTGCTTCCTGAAATCCCTATGGTTTCCGGGGCCCTATTTTGGAAGAATATACCCTGCCTCCACCCCCTCCTCAAAGCAGACATGTCTTGAGAGACAGCTAATTAAGGGTGTTTCCTTTGTAGTCCGATTGCATTTGCCTGAGAGGCAAAGGACCAATAGTTTGCATCAAATAAGCCAGATATCTAAAGAACACAGTAGAGTAGACAGGACATTGAGAGGCATATGATGGACTCCATTCGCCGTGCTTGAGGACCTTGATTTTGCAGATGATATAGCACTCCTATCACATAAACATGAACATATACAAGAAAAAAGTAACAGACTACACAGCACAGCAGAAATGGTGGGACTGAGAATAAATACAAAGAAAACTAAGATCATGACAAGCAGTCCAAACCAACAACCAGTGACCATAAATAACCAAACTCTTCAAAATGTAGAACATTTCACATATCTTGGCAGTGTGATGTCCCTGCGGGAGGGACCGAAGAGGACATACAGTCACGTCTGAACAAAGCTAGAGCTGCTTTTGGAAGGATGAGGCAAATCTGGAAATCCAACAATTACTGCAGAGGAACGAAACTGCGACTCTACAAGAGCATAATTTTTGCCAGTTCTTCTTTATGGAGCGGAATGCTGGAGAATGACCAAAAAGGATGCACACAAGCTGTCCACCTTCCACCACACATGTCTACGTAGAATTATCAAAATTTTCTGGCCAGATACAATCTCAAACACTAAACTACTTCAAGTCACAAACCAAGAAACTTTAGACTGTATGATAACCAAAAGAAGATGGAAATGGCTTGGCCACGTTATGAGAATGAATCCTGAAATACCCGCCAAAACAGCTCTCACATGGAAACCAGAGGGAAAGAGAAAACAGGGGCCCCCAAAAACAACATGGGGACGAACGATGGAAAGTGACCTGAGTGCAGCATCTTGGACATGGAAAACTGCACTGAAGATTGCGCAGGACAGGAACGCATGGAAAGTCCTCTCTGAAGCCTCATGTGCCACTAGGCATAACGAGAACTGATAAGCCAGATATGTAAAACAGTTATGCAAACACAACTCAAGTTATGGAACAAGACCGAAGTCCAGAAGTGAGTGAACAGCCACAACTTTTTTCTAGAGTTTACAGCTATTGAACGCTATCAATTGTAAGAGGATTCATTTTAGATCAGTGTATGCAACTGTTAAGTCTGTCATCGCTGGCAAAATAGGGACAGTTAGAGTAAATATTCTTCTGGGATATAATCTGGTTTTAAAGTTTCTAAGTGGTCATGGAATTTACACAGCGGCTGCCTATGGAAAAGATAACATTGTATGGATGAATGTGCTTGTGTAGGTAATATATTTTCTACACTTTTGACACCACAGGGAATGAAAATGGTGATCCATACAAGTAAACATAAACTGTTGTTTACTGAAATTGTATTAAGTGTCAAACCTATTCTCGTGACATCTCCTTGTCTGATATTCTTAGAGAAGTGTTGGAGAACTGGTTTCTTTTTCTTCTCCTCCTCATTCTTCTCTTGAAAGGTTGTTTGGCATGCTGTGTTATGGTTTACAGCTAGACTGCAGTATGTGACCCTAATTTTTGCAAACCCCTAATTAGTCATATTTGATGACATGGTTGCAAAGGGGCAGTGGACGGTTTTTCCCTCTTAAAATGGAACTCTGGAACTACACAGAGGGCACTGTTTAAATTATGATGTAGTAATAATAATGACGTACAGTTCTTCAATCAGAAACCTGGACTGCTGCACCTGTCTCATTTGGGTTCTTTGCAAGGCAGTGTGATCCATTATTTATTAAAAAGCTTATTTGTTGTTTAATCCATTCAGTGCATAGTTTCTTTCAGTCTCTGCCTCTTCTGCTGCTGTTTGCAGTTCTCATATACTCTCCACTGTCTGTGTTTTTTTTTCACATGACCAAAGAGCCGCTGTTAGTGTTTTGCCTTTTCTAGTCTGTCCAAGGTATTTGCAACATATATTTGGTGCCTCCAGAGTCTTCCTAATTTCTCATTTACATTCCAGTATACTGTTCACTGCCTTACAGCACAACAGGTTTTGGTAGATAATTTCACTCACTCTCGACTCTTAGATGTCTTGCTACAGTGTGTGAAAAAAGGGGGAGAGGGGATGCCTGTCTCTTGCATAAGCATAGCTTATGGCTAAACATTTGAATTCTGAGTCTGAGGAATAATTGTCTGGAATCTCTAGAGCAGAAGAGCTTCCGAAATTTTTCATGTTGGTGACACACTTTCTAGACACAAACAGTTTTATGACAGTAATTCAGTCTAATAGTAAACCAGAAGTTGAATTAACCCTATATAAGAGACACAGACATACATAAATTATCATTTTACAACACACCGCAGCCGGCACTCTAATGTGTAACAAAACACACAGTTTTGAAATCTCTGCTTTAGTGAGGAACAAATGATCTGGCTCTGTTATAACAGCCATGGAGACCAGTTGACAAGTATGATCTTTCTGGGTTATAGCAGTCGAAGAGATGGAGACAAGCTGACAATATGTGATTTTTCTGGGTTATAACAGCCACACAGATGGAGACAGGCTGACAATATGTGATCTTTCTGGGTTATAACAGCCACACAGATGGAGACAAGCTGACAATATGTGATCTTTCTGGGTTATAACAGCCACAAAGATGGAGACAGGCTGACAATATGTGATCTTTCTGGGTTATAACAGCCACAAAGATGGAGACAGGCTGACAATATGTGATCTTTCTGGGTTATAACAGCCACAAAGATGGAGACAAGCTGACAATATGTGATCTTTCTGGGTTATAACAGCCACAAAGATGGAGACAGGCTGACAAGATATGATCTTTCTGGGTTATAACAGCCACAAAGATGGAGACAAGCTGACAATATGTGATCTTTCTGGGTTATAACAGCCACACAGATGGAGACAGGCTGACAATATGTGATCTTTCTGGGTTATAACAGCCACAAAGATGGAGACAGGCTGACAAGATATGATCTTTCTGGGTTATAACAGCCACAAAGATGGAGACAAGCTGACAATATGTGATCTTTCTGGGTTATAACAGCCACACAGATGGAGACAGGCTGACAAGATATGATCTTTCTGGGTTATAACAGCCACAAAGATGGAGACAGGCTGACAAGATATGATCTTTCTGGGTTATAACAGCCACAAAGATAAAGACAAGGTGACAATATGTGATCTTTCTGGGTTATAACAGCCACAAAGATGGAGACAGGCTGACAAGATATGATCTTTCTGGGTTATAACAGCCACAAAGATAAAGACAAGGTGACAAGATATGATCTCTCTGAGTTATAACAGCCATACAGATGGAAACAAGCTGACAAGATATGATCTTTCTGTGTTATAACAGCCACAAAGATGGAGACAGACATAATATGATCTTTCTGGGCTGCTGGGTTAACAACAGTCACAGAGATGGAAACAGACAAGACATGATCTTTCTGAGTTTAGCAGTTCACATACATGGAGGCAAGCTGAAAAAAATATGATCTTTCTGGGTTATAAGTCACAAAGGTGGATGCAAACAGAGAAAATATTATCTTTTTGGGTTAAAACAGTCACACAAATGGAGACAAGCTGACAAGATGTAATTTTTTTTGGGGTTATAGCAGCCATAGAGATGACAGACAAGATATGATCTTTCTGGGTTATAACAATCATAGAGATTGATGCAGACAGACAAGATATTATCTTTCTGTGTTATAACAGCCACAGAGATGGGGACAGACAGACAAGATACAGTCTTTTTCACCAAAAAGAAAATGTCACTTGCAATGAGAAAAAGAGTTTTGAGGTGTTATGTAGAACCTGTGTTGTTATATGCCTGTGAAACATGGAAAGTCAGCAGACATGATGAAAAACATTTATTAGGGGCAGAGATGTGGTTTTTGAAAAGAATGCAGAGAATATCATTAAATGATAGAAAAACAAACTTAGCAGTCCTCATCGAGGCAGATGAAAGTCGTAAACTTAAAACAATTTGACGTAGAAGTTTAAAACATTTTTTTTTTACATGTTATGAGAAGGAATGAACTCAAGAACTTGGTAACTATTGGCAAGATTGATAGAAAGAGAGCAAGAGAAAGGCTAAGAGATAAATACATGGATGGCCTGGCTAGATGGATGAGGCTAGACAAAAACATTGAATTGATTCATGATTCTGGTGATCAGTTCAGATGGTGAAACATGACAGACTACACTTACAGGCACATGATAATGATGATGAATAACAACAGAGATGGAGACAAGCAGACATACATATCTCTGTGGGTAATTGATAGCATATCTGCCAGTTGTGGGCGGTTACTTCTGGAAATGCTGTTGCAAGGCAAGATATGTTGCATTGATGCTAAATATACAAGATGATGGATGACACATTGACTAGATGTTCACCTCCCAGCCAAAAGATCTTCAGTTAGAATCTGCATCTAGACAGATTTTAAATAATTGACCCTGGCTGCCAGGTGACACAGCCTAAAACAGGCACTAGGCAATGCCCTCGTAAGTAAAGGTGGCTGCAGTGATGTTGATCACGTCACCCATCAAATGCCAGTAGGTCTAAAAAAAAAATGAATTTGGCATCATCCACCTGATGTGCCACTGCCCTAAAAGGGGTCCTTGACATTTTACAAGATGATAGTGCATCATTGTCTTTACACTGTAGAACAGAGCTATTCGCCTGGTGGCCCTCGGAGACCTAGCCAGTGACCCACGGAGCATTGTCAGTTGTATTGTATTAATGATCTTTCTATGCTTGGGCTCAAGCCTCTGGTCCCAGAAGATCTCCATTTTCAAAACTGTGGCCCTTGAGTAAACTTAGTTGAATATCTAGAGAGCTACATTGAATTTGTATATGCAAAAGTAGAATAACATTTAATAACTCATGTCTCATAGGAATAACAGTTTTCATGTGTATTCACTTTCTTATTGGTTTGGCATGGTAAATTTTTGATTTATCTGGATTTGTTTCAAGGGTTGTGAAAAGGATTTAAATAAAGCTGTTATCCTTTATGCATTCATTCATTTGCCTTTTTAAATTTGCCTTTGTAAATAGAGTTAGACTCCAGTTTTAAAAAAAAAATGATTATCTTTCTTTATAGAATTAGATTGTTTCCCGTTACACACACAAAAAAAAAATGCAAAGACAATAATCATCAGTTGAATTTGAATTTCTTTTGGTTTGACAACACACAAGCTTAGTGTTTTCCTAGGTAAATAAACGGCAGCATTGGTGCAGTTTAGAATTTCTGTTGTTTCCATTCTACACATTCTTTATACTGTCAGAATGGCTCAGTTACAGTATGGGCAATAGTCCTCATTCCTAGTCTTTATTTTATGGGTCTTGATTAGTTGTCTCTTTTAGCTTGTGAATTCTTTGCAGGATTGAATTTGAATTCTTAAGTCTGATATGGTGGTGTTCAGGACTTCTGATGTAAAAAGATTCACCCTATCTGCTAGCAAAGTACCATCACTTAAGTGACTGTGTTGTAGAACTTTCCTTTTCCTGTTGAAGCTCAGAAAACAGTTGGGTGTATCTGAGCCGTATTGGAAGTCACATTTTCACATAGAAATATAACAAGTTCTTGATTACAGCATATACTTCTTCTTCGCGGTCACCAGCTGTAAACTCTGGCGGAAAGTTCTGGTTATTCTTTCACTTCTGCACTGCAGTCCTATGCACTCCGACTTTAAAGGAAGCTCCCAATTATTTGAATCTTACGACATGCTTTTGGGTAGGCAGTGGATCTATTCTTGTTTTCCCTATAACAGGGCCCCAGAACCCACATGGGGACAGCATATACAGACTGTCTGAAATTAGTTTTAGTTTTGTCATGTTCACTCTAAAGCTGTTTGTGACATCATTGTCAGCAGGCTACCACCTAGAGTCCAGAGAGGTCTTCACACTCTGGAAAATTCAAGCTTGATTCTCCTCTGTGCAAGATATAAAGCATGTGCTGCTAACTGAAGTTTATTATGGTTTTAGCTCTAACACTTTTTTCTGTTTCTGGCTTGTTATGCATATTTGTCCTAGCTATACTTTAACTCTTTGAGTCCCAAGGAACACATAATACGTTCATTGGTTCCTACTTAGAAGCCCACTGAACACACCAAGTGCTGATTTTATGTTTCTCTTGGGCCTGCAATGCTTAACCGTATGGGACTCAAAGAGTTCACATTGGAAAATTCAGGCATTGTCAAAAAATCTCACAGAAATTTAAATAATTTCCAAACTGGCATAATTTGAGGATTAGCATTATTATATTGGCTAAGTTAATTAGGCTCAGATTTTTTTTTTAAACTTCTGCTTTTCTTTTTTTTTAAATATCTTTATTACAATTGCAGTTTTCTGTTTGCATTTTTTTTTTCTATGTTTCAAATTTGCAACTTATGAAATATTGTTGGCAGTATTTTCAAACTGAAACTACCAAAAAAAAAAAAAGTTAGCAGTTTTCTGAACATCAGATTATTATACATTTTCATAATTACCTGGCATTATAGATTATTTTGCATATTGAAAGTACAAAAAGAATCGGGGCATAACCATCCACAGTTGTAGACAATTATTTGGAAAAACATAGATATTGTTGACGTTAACCCTTAAAGTTTAGGAGGCCGGAATGTGTGGCTGTCTGTTAACCTTTTTCAAAATTTTTTTTTTCATGCTGTCCAGGTTATAACTTTAAATATATTGCTAAAGTAATAATATATCGACAACAATAACCCTTCGGCCCTAAATCTTTAAGCTCAGACACCCCCTAACCACACTGCAAAAATAATTAAAGACTGGCAGTAATGGCAGTTATAATAATAATATGGTTTAAGAAAATGAAGATTTAAAAAAACACACACACACATTACAAATTAATAGAATATAAATTCTGAAAGAACAAAAGCTGGCACCTGGAATAGGAAACTCTGATGCTTTGGAAGTTTGGAAAGCCAGATTTCATAGCCATTAACTATTCTCAAAATGTTTGTTTTACTTTATCTAGGCTGTAACTTTAAAGATGTCATATATATAATAATTCTGCAAAATGTTTGCGAATTTAAATTTTAAAAAAAGCCTATTAAAATTTAGCAAAAAGATTTTAAAAGAAAAACACAAGCTTGCCCTCAGTGTAGGAAAACTAACTGTAAAAGTTACGGAAGGCCAGTAACTATTATAAAAATGTTAATTTCACCTTGTACAGATTATAACTTTATATATATATATATATATATATATATATATATATATATATATATATATATATATATATATATATATATATATATATATATATATATATATATATATATATATATATATATATATATAAAGTGATCATAGTAATAAAATGATTTTGAAATATATTTTGAGGGTAACAAACCCCAGAAAATTAATGCACTATATAAATTCTGAAAGAAGACGAGTAATACTAATATTGCATCTTTTAAACTTTTAATTCCTTTGAGGTATAATTTTTTTTCGCTTTTTTAATTAGAGAATGCCAGTTCTGCAAACCTGAGCTCATTTTCTTAATCTGCAGAAGAAGAAAGAAAGAATATATATATATATATATAAAGAGAGAGAGAGAGAATTATTAATCAGAGTTTATTACATGTTTCTGTGGTTTATTACATGTTTGTTTTTCTGTATTTTCACAAAATTACCAATGCATTCAGATTGGCCCAGAGCCCACCAGTGACTTGTGTTTTTTCTCTTCTCTCTTACTTACAGTTCTCGTTTCTATATCTTCAGGCATTCCCAACCATACAGCTTCCATTCAGGTATTATTTGGGTTTGTATTTATCAGCAGTGCTATATTAACCATGATTGCATTTATTATTTCAGCTGTGGATTGCCCTCCTCTATTTCTGCCTCAAAATAAGCAAAAGATCCAATTTGTTTGGCGGTCATTGGGCATAGATGTTGCTATGTGTGGTTATCAGTTAATGTTTAGTTCTTTGTGTAATTTTGAAGCCAGTTTTTTTTCACAGTGCTAATTAAAATAAGAAAGCTTTGACTCATACAGCTTGGGGGGGGGGGGGGGGGGGGGGATTTTAATAGCCTTTAACTATCAACATATTTGTTTTCAGTTTTCTTTTGTAGTGCTAATTAAATTCCAAGCACTTCTTTTTGTGTTATTAATGAAATCTTTATTATTTCCCTGAAATTTGGGTAATTGTTTTTATTTTATAAATGCATAATATTTCACTTTGATTTATTTTCTATTTTACAAACACACAACATGTATTCTTTAGTTAAAACTACTATACAAGAGTCTGGTTTAGAGGGTGGATAATATAGACTAATTTGTGACATAGTACTCTAAAGATTATTTTTTTATAGGTATATTTTTGCCTCCTCAACTTTCCAAGTGTCAACACTGACAGTTGTATTTTTGCATTATATGCAACATATATGCCTCAGATACAAGTTTGTATTTGGTTGTGGGTAGCTTATCAGGCATGTGGCCCACATACTACTAATTAATTGTTTATGACTAGAAAACATATATAAGCACTCACAGAATTATCACAAGAAATCATAGACATCAAGGTTAAAAAAAAAGGTAAAATCGGGAGATGTTAACCAGCATCATTGCACACGGTTATAAACCATAAGTGCTCTGCCACCAGTACGGTTAGCTGATAAGAAACTGTTTGCCTGTGTTGCTGTTCGCACGCAACTCCGTAGCTACAGCGACGTTCCTCCATTTACCCTGGAGTGTTAACTCTGATACCCATTACCTAGAGGCTGGGTGAACCACGGGAACCGCTTAGTTTCGAACACCGGCCGTTGGCTGCAGCGAATCCCAGCTGCATTTGAAAGTGAGTCTCCTATCAACTGCTCTAATGCGGCCAACTAGACATCAAGACCCATCCACACTGAACTAGAGTTACTTTGAAACCGTTTTTGTCTTGCACCAGTACAGCTAAGGTGTGCTGTGTGGCTTGGCTGTACAGTTGAACAGGGTTTCCAGGATTTATACTGTTTGATTCTTATCCTTGAAATGTTTATCGCACGGATTGCAACCCTGTTGGGGTTGGGGGCACTTTTTAAAAAAATGTGCCAGAAGCAGGTTTGCATGAGAAAAACTGCTGTCCCTTCACCACATTAGAGGTTGCCTTTTGTAGATAAATGCATCTGTTGCAGTCTTTGGTGAAACCCCAACCTCCTCCATAGTTGAAGCCTCTCTGAGTAATATTCCTTAAGGTAGCAGTCGGTAATGTAACCACTTCAGCCAGTCTCTAGTGTGGTGATGGCACAGTTTTTAAAAATGCATTCAGTTCTTGCTGATCCAAAAAACATTTTAAAAATCTTAGAATCCAGTTAGAATGTAACCATGACTGAATTACCATATCACACACAGTAGCAATAATTAGCAATTTGTAAGATAAATAAAGTGACTAGAAAGTTCATTTAGAAGAAAACAGAAATAAAATCATAAATTCAGCCTTTTTGCAACAGCTTTAAAAAACGGGGGAAAACAAGGAAAACTTAGCTGGCAGCATTCTGTTGCAGAAAGTTAAGTACTAATATAAAATATATAAATAATAAATATATAAACAAGTAAAAGTAGGGCCCGTTTTCACCACCTTGAGGTTTGTTTTGCATATGGTTGTAAGCCCATTTTTTTATTTATCATTCCCATTAATAAACAGAGGAACGAACGAACAAACTTTATTTTCAAAGGGTTACAAAGGGTGACCCTTGAGGCCGTTAATAATTACATATTAATAAAGTAACAGAAAATGTATTGATCAGCACTCATAGAAAGAAGTAGAAAGATAGAAGAACACACTAGACAACATAAAAATCGAAAGCTATAGTTACTGTGCCGGGAAATTAACCTGTCACCTCCAGGCGGCTTGTGCGCCTCGCTATGGAAACAAGTGCACTAAGAACATGGAGTGTTAAGCAACACATTTTTTTATATAGACCAGTTGGACCAGTTTGTCAGGGTCCTGTATCATGTCAGCTGCCTTGAACATTTATTGTTACCCATTTTTTGTTGGGTCAGCCATCAAGCTCAGGTCAGTTTAAAGCCTGCCCTCATGGGGCTGCGAACCTGTAACCTCTTGGCCTATAGACAAGGTTTCTTTTGGGGTGGGACTTTTATAGTAGACAATTTTGAATAAGGTTAAGTTTACTGTTCTCTAAAACATATTTGTGTGACAAAAATAAAATACTTTCAGTTAAATTATACTGTAAAAGCAGATTTCCTGTCCATGGTGGAATCTGTGAAAGTATGTGTACCATATGTCATTATGAAGAGAAAGCATAGGCTCTTAAAACCTGCAGACCACAGAAGCAGCTGACAATTTCTTTTATTTTTGTTCTAGACAAGAACCTTTTTTGTTTGTTCTTTATTTTTAAAATTAGCATGTTTTTATTTCATTTGTCTTTCATTTAGTTCTGATTTTATTTTGGTTATTCTTTTGTCACTTTATAAACCAGAATAGCACAGTTGAAGTTATTGCAAATTATAGTTCTTTGTTTGCAACATTTAATAAAGTGTTTTTCGGGGGGGAAGGTGGGGGGGGGGCCAAATTTCTTTCTTTTAACCTTCTGAAAACCATTTAGTTTGCTGTATTCTGAGCATTGTTTAAGCTCTTAATGGTTTGTGTATCTGTTATTGAATTCCAAACAAGCTTTACCTCAACACTGGGCAGTTATGACAGAATAATGGTATATGATTGCATGTTGCCCACAGCACTAAACCTTTCTCGACTTACATATGTGTATCGAAAAAATATTATGACCTTTGAAATAAATTACTCAGATTACCTGTAAGCTTTAGTGTATACACAGCTGTACACATATTAACAAACCTACTGCATGTCTCTTTATAGTCCCCAAGACAGAGCTTATAAACCATTCTGTTGTAAAATAAACAGTTGGCAAGGAATAGTCAGTTTATTTAGAAGTATTTAGAACAGATTGAATATTTAGAATTAAATTGCTCAGATTTATTTCTAGTGTATGCACAAATTTACTCCGTACAAATGGAGGACCGGCTGGCCTAACGGTTAAGAATGCATGGCTCTCAAGAAACCTGGGTTTGAATCCTCAAAAAAGGCTGGGGATATGTTTCTATCAGGACAAAAAATAAAATCCTAACCTGCTTAGACTGTGGCAACTCCACTACCCATGCCACTCAAGTCTTGCAGCTCAAAGACCCACCCCGCCTGCACCGCAACAGTGGTGAATACTGTCAGTGATGGTGGTAGGTAGTATGAGAGCATACTCCGTTTCCGTTGATTGTATAGAAGAGCATCCTCTGTTTCTGGTGATTCTTTGAGAGCATCCTCTGTTTCTGGTGATTCTGTGAGGGCATCCTCTGTTTCTGGTGATTCTGTGAGAGCATTCTCTGTTTCTGGTGATTCTGTGAGAGCATCCTCTGTTTCTATTGATTCTATAAGAGCATCCTCTGTTTCTATTGATTCTATAAGAGCATCCTCTGTTTCTATTGATTCTATAAGAGCATCCTCTGTTTCTATTGATTCTATAAGAGCATCCTCTGTTTCTATTGATTCTATAAGAGCATCCTCTGTTTCTATTGATTCTAAAAGAGCATCCTCTGTTTCTATTGATTCTATAATAGCATCCTCTGTTTCTATTGATTCTATAAGAGCATCCTCTGTTTCTATTGATTCTGTAAGAGCATCCTCTGTTTCTGGTATTCTATGAGAGCATCCTTTGTTTCTGGTATTCTATGAGAGCATCATCTGTTTCTGTTGGTTATATAAAAAGCATCCTCTGTTTCTGTTGATTTTATGAGAGCATCCTGTGTTTTCTGATGATTTGGTGTGGTTATATTCTATTAATTTTGATTCTGGGAACCGTCTTCTGTTTCACGTTACATTTCTGCTCTTTTAAATTTCTAATTTTCTGAGTTATATATTTTATTATACTCACTGAGCTTCGACACCATATCATACCGTTAGGGTGCTTTAATATTTGATTTAGAAACTATCATCTTTTGAAACAATACAGATCTTTATTTCATTTGATTTCTGTACATTTCTTAATTCATCTGTAGGTAGACGACTTCTTGTAATCTTTGTTTGAAAACCATTGTAACTGTTGGTGAATTATGGTTTTATACAGTTTTGTTGGCTCTGCTCTAAAAAATGTACTCTTATTGTATATGGAAACCGCCATATATGCTCCAGTTATTAGAAAGTGACCATAGCTCAACAAAAAGAAGAATAAGTCAACAAATACGGGAAAGGAGCTGCAGTGGCCTAGTAGTTAGAGCTAAGTAACGATGCCAACACTGTGGTTGGAGTTATTATTCTTCTTAGTTTGTCCTCAAAAGGGTGGTTGGTACACTGTGTTATGGTTTCATCTCGGCTGTAGAATCTACATCCTTTGGCTCAACATGCATGATTTCATCAAACCCCTAATTAGTTAGTCACTTGTTACATGCTTGTTAGAGGGACAATAGGTCTGTTTGTTTATTTCCAAAATGGGGCTCAGAATCCACACAGATATAGAATGGGTTCTATCCTCAGCTGAGGCAGGATTGTTTTCCAGTCAGTACAGTTCTGCATAGAAATAGGTTAGACAATTGTCAGAAATGTCTGGAAATGTCTGGGACAGCAAGAGGACGAGGAAAGGAACTAGCTGGCTTACTTCATATGTCATGGCCTAAGAGTATGGTTCTCAATTAGCTTAGACCTGCTAACCCCATTTCATACTGAAGAACTTATAATTTATAAATATAGTCTCCTGGACTTATGGTTGAGTTCCATTCCAACTAACAGGTCATAAGTCAAATTAGTCATAAGTGGAGTTTATATTTTTCAACACTATTTTTATCCAGATGGGTATAGAAATTGTACATCAAACACAACAATTGAATCTATGTACATTACATTAGTGTACATAATGCGAAAAATACATAATATGTACTCTATTGCATTCTTTCCTGGAACTTTTTGACCATACCACAGTAGTTATATTTCTGTATTCACTGTATTTATTTGGTTTGGTTATAAGTGCGGATGCTCATAAGTCAAGGAGAGGGTTTTAGAATTGCAAACTAAGAAGGGGGGGGGGGATTGCATTTAAAGGTTTGTGGGGAGGGGGGGGGGGAGATTGCATTTAAAGGTTTGGAAAGGGGGGGGGGGTAAGTGGGGTGTAAGGATACCACAGACTCCTGATTTTGATTTGCTGACTACTCAGTGGGAAACACTGGCCAAAGATAAGATAAGGCTTGACATTTCAAACCTCAGCAGCAACACTTGCTATGAAACCACCATTACCTTTTGCTTAAATGTAAAGGTTATTTTGAGATGACCTTGCAATGGTAACATGTTGTTTGGTTATTGAATGGCTTCTGTATGTAATGCATGCATCCATTTATATATTTTTTCTCCCTAGCTAACAAGGAAATGTCAAGATTATCCCTAGGAAATTAAATTAAGAACAAACACACGTTTTCCCAAATGTTGTTATGTATGATCGTTGCGCAGTGTGCATACTTGGTCTTTTGTTATTTTTATGTTATTTTTTGCTTGACCCCATTGAAGATGTTATATCAGCAAATGACAGGCTTAACGAACGAATGTTGAAATGTTGATATTGTGATAAGTGTCGTCGAATAATGAACGTGTATTATGTATTCATAGTTGTTTATGGTGTATTTTTCTCAGCTGTGTGTTCAGAAACTCCGCATTCTCATTGAGGATTCTGATCAAAATTGTGAGTATTGAAGAGTTAAAAGTCATGTTTGTTATTTTGTTAATATGATGCTTTGGGCATGTAGATTACAGGTATGAAGGTTTGTCATCACCCCTATGTAAGTGAAACTCTTGTACACTAGTGCACGTTTATTGGGTCAGTGGAGACTCCTTAGTTTGAATACAAATTCCATTATCAATTTAAGGTTAGGACCTATATTTTATAGACCAGTCGGCACTTAGTGGGTGATGTGGTCAGCATCATGCCAGCCACCTTTACTTCCCAGGACTGCACCTGGTAACCACTCATGGCTGGGTCGACCTGGGAGCCAAGGTCGTTTTTGAAAAATGTCCGGCTCCATCAGGACCCAAACCCACGACCTTCCTATTTGCAAGCAAGCATCTAGCTGTCAAACCACAGCGAATCCCTTATGGATAAAGTATTTAGTGCATTTGCCTGCCAAGATAGTCCTCCTGGTTCAATTCCCAGCAGCGAAAAGATTATTTTTCTGACCTATACTGACCAGATAGCCACACTACACATAATAATAGAGCAAAACATCAAATTGAATTCACCACTCCACATTGAATTCCTAGACTATATAAAACCTTTCACATCATTGAAAGGGAATCTATCTGGAGATTGATAAGGCACTAAGGGATCCCACAGAAAATTATAAACAGTAAAAGAAGTATTTAAAGAAATACAAAATCTTCAGTTCTTCATGAGGGTAAGTTACATTTAAAATAAAAAAAATAGCAGGTGTGCGACAGGGATGTCTAATCTCGCCTCTATTGTTTTTACTGGCAATTGTCTGGATTCTGAAGTCAGCAACTGCTAACACCAGGAATATAATGGAATTCAGTAAACCCCTACACTACAGCTTGATGATCAGACTTGATGATCTGCTAATATTTCTCTTCTGTCCCACTCACAAAATCATGTGCAAGATAAATTAAACTTACTTGGTGCGAGAACATAACAGTTAGGTTAAAAATCTATACAGAAAAACAAAGATAAATTAGATAGAGTAAACCAGACAAACAGTAATATTTTACTTCTGATGATATCCCACTCTAAGATGTCATACACCTATTTGGGCATTATTTTTAGATAAAGTTTGAAGAACTGATAGAGATATTAAATTTAAAAAATACAAGAGGCAAGAGGAGTTTTCAGGGCATTAGGAAATTTGTGGAAGTCACCAAAAAAATAAAATAATACTAAGCTCCACATTTAAATTGTAATGTTGAATCAGTACTGCTGTATGAAGCAGAAACATGGAGAACATCTAAAACAATTACTAATAAACTACAAACATCTGTTAACTAGTGCCTGCACAGAATTGAGGGAATTCAATGGTATGATAGAATCACTGTTGAGCTTTGGGAGAGAACTTACAAAATTCCAGTGAATCAAGTGGTGAAGAAAAGATGCCGGCTTTGGAGAGGACACATGTTTAGACTAAACAATTAGTTTTGTCTATATGTACAATACATTTAGTTAGAGCCATTATTAAGCTTGGTGATTAGTTAGTATTTCATCCACATATCTATAACCTTCCTTATGCAGTAAAATATCTTGGCTTGCTGGCAATGTCCCGCATTTTGGCAACACATCCAAAGTCAGTTCAAGGGCACAAGGACCTCATACTGCAGTGTTTGGATGACAGAGATGAGTCCATCCGACTCAGGGCATTAGATTTGCTTTATGGCATGGTATGTAACAGTGGTTATATTCATATTGTTGAATGTATTTCCAGGGCAGTAGTCGGTTCTTCTGTATTCAGTCTTAAGAGGCTTTTGCCACTTTGTGTTGTGGTTTACAGCTAGGCTGCACCTTTTGGCCCAATGCATCTCATTTCCTTAACCTTCAATTAGCCGCCTTTTATGGTATGCATTTTTAGAGGCATGGGTCTGTTATTTTTTTTTTTTTTTTGTAAACACAGATGAGCAGCATCTAAATCAAGTAGACATAAGTAAATATTGTGATGGGATGTACATCTTATAAAAGTGGTACAGACAATGTGTTGAAATTATGCAGAAACAGATTTTGAACTAGAAATGGGGATAGTTGTTTTTAAGTAATTTTAAGTAATTATGGCTGTTACCATGGTGATGTTGTGTAAATGAGCTTGTTTGTGAAGACAGTAACAATGGTCAAGTTCCAGCAGTGGTAGAATTCCATTTTTCTACCAGTGCAACTCTGCTGACATTCCAACCTCTTAATTTGCTTGGCACCTTTTCATTTTTCGAGATGATAGCATCATATTGTACTGCAACTAGGCAATGGAATTGAAACCCCTGGCACTAAGAGATGTCACTAGCAAGACCTGCTCACATTTTTTAAAAGTCTGTAGCACAAAGCCTGGGCAGTATTTTAGAGACTGGTCATTGCAGTATGAACCCTCTATAAGCCGGCCTAGTTTACTCCCAAACAAAACAAAAAGTAACATCAAATGTGTTTTGTTTGTTTTTTTAACAACGCATGCTCTTGAAGCTGCAGAATCAGTAGATTAAGAAGTGCTCTGCTTTTCTTTCTGCCTATCAAAGCTTCCCGCTTAGACCAGCTGCCAACCAAGTGTAATGGTTTGCTTTGTCCTGCCATAACATTGAGTTTTTAAGTTGCATTTTCTCTTCTTATGATAAGACTAGTATACTTTCCAGATTGGTCAAGCACATGCACGCACACGTGCGCAGACATGCACATGCACATTCTTGAAACCAGGAACTTCTAGAGTTCCACTTCCTGTATGATAGAGCATGTTTAATTCTTTGCCCAAAGACCATAATTTTGCCTTTTTTCTCTTTACACTTTCTTTGTGGAATTTGTATTAATTACCAGTTCAAAAACGCAACATAAACAAGTTCCACAGCTAGATGCCTCAGTTTAGTTGATTTGTTCAGTAGATATTCTGAAATTAATACATAGACTATATGTGTTTTTATGACCAAAGTTTATACCATGTCCTTAGCAGTGATGGCATGAAACCTTCTGCACACCATGTGTGCACAGGCAGCACTTAATTCACATGTTTGAAGATTTGTTAGAATGAATGGCCAAGGGGTTCTGTCACAGGTTGATTCTTATTTCACAGTTTGAAGATTTGTTACAATGAATGGCCAAGGGGTTCTGTCACAGGTTGATTCTTATTTCAGGTTTCCAAGAAGAACCTGATGGAAATTGTCAAGAAACTGATGGTGCACATGGATAAAGCTGAAGGGTCACATTACAGAGATGAACTTCTGTCCAAGACCATCGAGATCTGCAGTCAGTCTAACTACCAGTATGTGACTAACTTTGAGTGGTAAGTGTCCAGTTGTAGTCTATGTGTTGTACTTTATTAGGTGTTGGGCCAAGAACCGATATCACAGAACTAGGAGCATCCTCGTAAGCGCTCCTTTCTCATCTTCAGCAGCGAGCGTAGAGTTTCAGTTCCGACGGTACCAGTAGCAGCTTGATTTTAAATCCATCTTGCCTCTTCTCTGACTTTATTAGATGCAAGATGTGTTTAGTCTCAGTAACCCCAAGAGTTATGCTGGCTATAGCTTAGCCACTGGTATTGTCTCCCATGTTTGACAGGGCAAAGGATAGGAGCCAGACAAAGAAACATAACCCTGCTGCCTTGCAGACAGACTGCAGCCTTCCCCCTTTTCCTGTTTTTTTTTTTTTTATTGATTACTGATTTAAGAATTGGCATAAGAGCACACAGAGCATACCGATAAATGCTCCATCTGGCGCAGCAGATTTCTTTAATGAGTAGTTGCTAACTGTTCTCGCAGCAGACTGATTATACACATTCTCTTTCTCTCTTTTGTTCCTTCTTGCTAGATCCACTCTTATTTCCATGCTCACACATTTAATCTAACATCATGTCTTCTATCAGCATGAATTCATAAATGGTCTTCAGAGTGTCTCCTTTGTCCAGTACCAATGTTCCTTTAGCTATCACTTTGGTTTTTTTTTTTGGTTTTTTTTTTTTTAAATTCAAAATCCAATGTGCTGAGCCACCGGTTCGATGAAATGATGCACAATAACACCTTATGATGATGAGATGTTTGCAGTGTCCTCAGGTAATCAGATAATCACTGCTCCAACATCACAGCAAACAGGTCACTCCATAGTTGCTCTGTTCTGTAAATCACCATAGAAAATGTCCTTAGGGACTCTTCCATTCTCTGGGTGTTAGCTTCGGATACTGAGCATTGGAAAAAACGGTTGTAATACCTGATTTTTCCAATATCTCTGTGTTTGTGATCATGTCTTTCCATTTGCAAATAGTGCGCGCACGCACACACAGGAAAAGCACACAGACACACATTAAATGCATAAGGCAGCCATCAGAAGTGCCAACACAGACACTCCGACACTGTAAAGGCAGTTAGTCGTTGATGGAAGTGGCAGTTTCAACAAATCAGTAGTTGCAGTTAATCACATAAGGCATAACCTGTTCTCTGGCAACAGGCCTCTCAACCTTTTGCAGAATCTGCAGTTCCCAACACAAACCACTTTGGGCACAATTAAAGAGAACTCAAATAAAATTCAGAACTCCGTGTTCAGCTGGCACTCAACTCAGCAGCTGGATTTTGGAACTGTGAAAAAGTAAAGTAAAGTAAAGTGAAGATCTCTTTTCACGCCTGTAGGCGCATCGGGTAAATGAGAAGAGCACCCATATTTTTACAGATCAATCGGCACTAGGTGGGTAATGTGGTTAGCATTACGCCGGCTGTCTTTACTTTCCTAGGACATACATCCTGGTACCTATATTAGGCTGGGTCGACCTGCGATGCCCCATGCCATGATAAAAATCCACGCAGCCAGCAGTGGGTTTCGATCGTGGTACATTGAAATCACGAGTTGGACTCGCAGCGCCTAAACCACGGATGCCGCGATTTGGAACTATGTACTACTTTCAATCCACTTATGGAGGAAATACAATGACTAACCACACTTGCCACGACTAAAAACAGGAAAGTGTCTGTTAACTTCTAATGCCCATGTATATTTGTTTTCCTGATGCAGTTGGTTATAAGTTCTATTTGTTGACCCAAATGTAAACAGTTAGAAAACATAAGGTGCACCTGCTGCTGCTGCTTCTCCTCCTCCTCTTCCTCTAGTCCTGCATTTCAATGGCAGGTTAGGTGCTCCTCAGCTTTACAGAATTGGAGTACAGTAAATAAAGGACATCATGACATTATAATGTGAGCAGATAGAATGAAACTCAAAAGGGTGTGAGGAGGAGGACACAGTGGGAAGAAGTAAAGAAAATGGTTTGTCCAAAAGTGTAGGAGAAATAGACCAAAACAGTGGGTGTGTCTAACATGTGTGGTCGGGTGATGTAACACACACTTGCCAAGTATCTAGAGGATCTTTAATAAATATCAGTCCACACATAAACACAGGGTTCCCTCAACTAATCATGGCCACCCACTCTGATGGTCATTATAAAGAGTAAACGAGGGCCAACTCAGCACAATAAACCACGTACACGTAACATCCTATCGTAACCACTAACATTGTCTACGAGTTCTGTAATACACCACACCAATTATAATCTTATAGTATCTTTGTTGTGGATGAACACATTGTGACAAAGATTAATCGGTGATCAATAACTCAGTCTGTCTATCTACTACCTACCAAGTTCATTCACATTGGCAGTCTGTCCAGACATGGACAAAACCCCCTAGCGAACTATGCACAAGGTGCCTGCTACAGGCGACCCACTGCCTGATCGTGCAGAAACGCCTACATGATGTGCAGTGACAGTCCTCTGACTGTTCTCCCTCTAAGAGACTTCGCCACCCAAGGACCCATGGTAGATGCACCACTTGGTGAAAAAAATCAAGACCTTCCATCTCCTGCCTAGTCAGTCATTGAAGTATCACTGATCAACATCCAATTAACCAGCCTCCGATACCTCCCCATCACAACTCCACACAACCGTCCATTCTAGAAAATTACTTTGACAGACCAACTCATGATCCACAACAGTCATCTGAACAGTTTAAAACCTCCAATGGAGTAAAACCACATTGTTAAAACTCACACTACACAGTCCATACATCCATAGGACTTGAACGATTCGCGCGCACGACCACACACACAGACCGACTGAAAGGGACTGACTGACTCAGATACCATGAACTCACTATTTCAGCAGAATTCTAAGATCATTGTTGGTTGTGTTTCTAATGTAGGTATGTAAGTATTCTGGTGGAGCTGACAAGGATGGAAGGCACCAAGCATGGGAAACTGATAGCCAACCAGATGCTTGATGTTGCTATTCGTGTGCAGGCCATTCGACACTTTGCTGTTTCACAGATGGTTAGATCTCTTTTTTTCTTGTGTTTCTGACATGTTGATGTTAATTTTTTTTTTATATTTACATAACCTGCGATCTAAGACATTTTTTTTAATGGTATGGAAATCTTTATCTTTTTTTATACAGATTGACTTTAATACTTTTTTAAATTTTTTAATTTTAAAAATCTTTTCCTGTAACTTTGTCTACATTGCTGCTTAAATTGTGAAACAAGATTTTCCCAAGGTGATTTTGATTATTAACCATTTCATCATCTTTGTTTGTCTTTTCCTTATGAATTTTCTGGCGTTGTTAATTTCATGAGTGGTAATGAAATGCACTGTTAACAAAGTACAGATCATCAAGCTGAATTCTCTTCATGATGGTAGTTGTTGTTACGTCTTCATAGTGTCCATAGTTGTAAGAATAATAACAGTAATGTATCAGTTTATGATTGGTGTAAATCATTACACAGAAGACCTACATCAACTATTAGCCATTGTGGTACTAGAGAGTGCAAAAAGGGACTTTTCTTGAATGTCAAGAAAAAAGAAACAATGGTTGTATCAAAGAAGAAAATAAATCCAAAATGTTGCATAGCAATAAAGGGAGAGTGTTTAACCAAGTCAATAAATTAAAGTATTTGGGGACATTCATAACATCAGATAGACGATGTGTGACAGAAATTAAGAGGAGAATTGGCCAGGCAAAGGCAGCATTTCAGAAGATGAAAAGTATCTTATGTAATAAATCACTCCCGTTAAACGTCAAAAAAAAAAAAAAATAAATAAACATCTGAAATGTTAAATCGAGCCTGTTATGTTGTATGGCTGTGAATCTTGGCATGTGAGCAAACAAATTAGGAAGAGTTTGGAGACAATTGAGATGTAGTTCTTGAGAAGAATGTTGTAAATACCTCAGACTTCCAGAATAACTAATAGTGATTGCCTGATTAATGAAAGTAGAACATTACATACAACAATGAGAAGGAGACAAACAAAGATATTTTGGTCATGTGATGAGAAATGGGGCACTGGAAAATATTGTAAGGACTGGAAAAATCATTTGTAGAGCAATAGCATTTAACTAGGCTTTTAAAAAACAGGCCTCTGCTGTAATGCCAGTACATCAGCATTTATAAGAAATGTTTCACAGCCAGAAGAAACTAGATCTAATCTTCTTATTAAATTATTTCTGACATACTGATACCCAAGGCAGATTAATGTATTTGTGTTTCTCTGTTTCTTTTTTATCTACAAGCAGGGCAGTATAGGCTCTCACCAAACTCATATCAAGCCATTATCTTTTGTTGTCTCCTGTAGCACCTTCCATGTCGTCTGTATATTACTCTTCTGTCTCTAACACTCTTCCTTATGCTTGTCTCCTGTTGCTCATTTCATGTCCTCCGTATGTTACTCTTCTGTCTCTAAGGCTCTTCCTTATGCTTGTCTCCTGTTGCACATTCCATGTCCTCCAAATATTACTCTTCTGTCTCTAAGGCTCTTCCTTATGCTTGTCTCCTGTTGCCCATTTCATGTCCTCCGTATATTACTCTTCTGTCTCTAAGGCTCTTCCTTATGCTTGTCTCCTGTTGCCCATTTCATGTCCTCCGTATGTTACTCTTCTGTCTCTAACACTCTTCCTTATGCTTGTCTCCTGTTGCCCATTTCATGTCCTCCGTATGTTACTCTTCTGTCTCTAACACTCTTCCTTATGCTTGTCTCCTGTTCCATGTCCTCCGTATATTACTCTTCTGTCTCTAACACACTTCCCTATGCTTTTAGGTCTTCCTCAGTTTTGCTCTGTGGGTTCCAGAAGGACTTTCTGGCTATGATATTAACAGGTTTTCTCAGTGTTTTTAAATTATAAACTTTGAACAAACTTGTGCTAATTTTTAAACCAAATGATTGGATCAGTGCAGAATAAACGTGTTATTTTTGTTTATTATTTTCCATATGATTTTATTTTGCAGGCGATCCTTCTAGAAAATTCACATCTTTTGGCTAATAACTCCCAGAGAAATGGTATTTGTGAGGTTCTGCATGCTGCAGCCTGGATTTGTGGAGAGTTTTCTGAGTAAGCTTATATATCTATATCCTTGACTGATTACTGGGAATTTATCACCCAAGATTAAATAGTATAAAATAAACCAAGAAATTAACAAGCGTATGGTTGTAAGTTCAAAATCTGTTCTTAAATTTGAAGAAAACAAAAATAATGTTAATTGGCCACAGCTCTAAGGTCAGTCCATGCTAAACAGTATCAGGAAATGTTCTAGTGAGCACTGTTGGTCATCATGATGTTGATCACATCACTCGTTGAGTACCGATTAGTCTGTAACAATCGCTAGGCCCATAAATATATACATCTCCAAATGTAACAATGGACCCTTTACTTTTATTTTATTCATCTCTATTATTCTGTTACAGACATCTAAGCAATCCAAAGGCTACATTGGAAGCTATGCTGAAGCCAAAGATCACATCCCTCCCAGGCCATATCCAGTCCATATTTGTACAGAACATCTTGAAACTTTATGGCAAGATCCTCAAAGCTGCTGAGGCCAAAGAAGATGACAGTCTAAAGAAAGAAGTTCATACTTTGCTCCAGGAAAAGCTCCCTGTCTTTATACAGAGTGGGGATTTGGAAGTCCAAGAGAGAGTGAGCATGTGTCTGTAACATTTGTGTTCTCTGTCTCTTTGGATGATGTTTATTTCATACCCTGTTAACACTGATATTGTGAACAAATCGACTCCTTTGTGCTTTTTAATTTCACCAGTGAATAGTCAGTACTACCTGTTCTCTGTTAAAGCTAAACGATAGGCTTTATATGCTAAACCTGACATCCCACATTTTGCCAGCACGTTCAGATAGAAGATTGCACTGCAGAGGATGCTAGCCTTATCCTATGAAGATTAAATTAAATCTGAAAACTTGTCATGGCGAGGCAAACCAAGCCCTTGGTCTTGGTTGGCAGCTGGTTTAGGAGGGAACTCCAACAGGCAGACAAAGCACTGTTCTTCTGATCTGATAACTTCTGCAGGATGCTTTATTCCAAACATATTGGTATTACTATTTCTTTGAATAAAGAAGTAAACATGCGGATTTGAACTCAGGGCCTTCATTCCAGATTGCAGGTGTCTGCCCAGTACACTGCCATGTCTCTTTATCAACTAAATGCAAGGTGTTAATTGTGTGTGTGAAAGCCATGCAGCACTTTCCCCTCTTATAAAGGATTGATCTTGTATCTCTTTTTCCAATAACATAGGTGCTAGACATTTCTCCAGAAAATAAAGTTAGCATAGAAGGGAGTTAACCCATTTACATGTCAAAATTATGTTACTTGGTATATATGAAGTAGTATATACACTTCTGTCAATATGAAGGATAAGCAGGTTTACTGTTCTTGGTTATGGCAAGTTTTTGCCTCTGATAGTATTTGGGTATTGCATTTTCCTCCGTGTGTTGACTGAAAGAATATAGTTTTGTTGTCCAACTACTGAATTGAGTGCATGATGTGACACTGAGCTGCGGATTTCAGTTGGAATGTTTTTTGACTGTGACAGACACGGTTTGTGTTATGAACTGTAGGTTCAGAAAATGGCAAGTTTTGGCCTGTTGCCAAAGAACTAAATGGTGGTGCCTTGTGTGATTAATCACTTGTGCAACTGCTGATCTGTTAAAACTGCTGCTTCCATTTCTTGTGTCAGACTGTTTGTGTTAGCACTTCTGACAGTTGCATTTAATGTGTGTATGCTATTGGATATGCTGAGGCTGCAGTTTGTGTCAGTTTTTCCACAAGGGACAAGGAAGAACATTCTGTGGGGTTTTCACTGGCACAGGAACGGAGCAACTATCGGGTGACCTGTTTGCTGGGAAGTTGAAACTGCTACTACCTGAATACCTATCACTTCACACCGTACGGCAAGGCCATCCCTGAAATATCATGCTGTTGAAAAAACTACAGGCTTGTTATGTTTTGAATATGTTGCCTAAATGTATTTGTCTACAGGCATGCAGTATCCTGCAGATTGTGAAGTATATCATGAAACTGGAAGAAAAGGGAGCAGCCGTGGCTGATGAGGTGGAGAATTTGTATGCTGGGGAGCTCAACCCTGTTGCACCTAAAGCTCAGAAGAAGGTTCCTGTTCCTGAAGGGTAAGCCATTGTGTTCCACGTTTCCTACATGGGCTCCGGGGCCCAATTTTGGGGAATAAAAAAGAAAGAAAAATGATTCTGGGACAGATCTGGCAAGCTGTTATAGGATAAAATTGTTCAGACACTTATGCTGAAGATAAGAAGAAGAGAAAATCAACTACATCTAGCTCCTGTCTGCGACGTTTTATCTCATAAGCAGTAGAAAACACAAGAAGAAAGAGTATATTCACCACCCCCCCATCCTACCCCAACAAGCATGTCACAAAAGGTGATTAACTAGGCTTTTGCAGAAATCAGATGTGTTTGGTTGATATTACAGCCTCGATAACCACAGCACAACATGTCAGCTGCCCTTTTAAGGGGGAAGAAGTGTCCCACTTCTATAGATATTTGGACAGCCAGTTGACTTCATCATCCAAATAAAGTAAAGTAAAGGACCCTTTTCCACGCCTTCAGACATATTGGTCAAGGCCTATATTTTATAGACCAAACAGCACTTGGTGGGTGATGTGGTCAGTATCATGCTGGCCGCCTTTACTTTCTATGACTGTACCTGGTACCCACTCAAGGCTGGGTCGACCGGGGAGCCAAAGTCATTTTTTTTTTTTAAAGCCTGATTCCTTCAATACCCGAACCCATGACCTTCCGATTAGCAGTCAGGCATCTAGCCGCTACGCCATGGTGACTCCCATCATCCAGATATCTTGAGTTATTTTATGTATTTTTTTTTTTATATGGTTGTTCCATTGCCCTTGTGTTTTGGAGACTTTCTACTACAGGGTTTATTTTGTTTTTCTTGGTTGTGTTTTATTGGGGAAGCTGACTAGGTTTTTGTGAGCATAAAGGAATTGATTAACTGAAGTCCTGCTGTGATTTCCTTGGCCCCATTTTTTTTAAAAAGAATAGACCCTTAAGGAATTAGTCATAAAGAAGACTATTTAGGAGTTTGCTGGAAGCCCATATGTTGTGCTGGAAGGCGCAGATATCACAGCCTAGCTGTAAACAATAATACAATATTCCCATTGCCATTTTAAGGGTGAAAACATTAAGGGGGGCAAAGGATAAACTGAAAAATTCAAAACAATGATCAAGATCTTGTTTCTTGCTAGTAACATGTAGTTGACATAGAACAGATTTGGCATTGTGTCTGCCCATTGTGTCAGTAGTCAGAAACAATGACAGGTATTAGTCTGTAAATAACATGAAAGACCCTTTTATTCATCGGAAATATAGTGCTAGACCTACATTTGTATAGACCAATCGGCACTTGATGGATGATGTCAGCATCACGTTGTCTGCTTTAACCTCCCAGATTTTATGTGGTACCTTATTAGCCTAGGATCTGTTCTCGAAAAGCGTAGTTGAATTCCATTAGTCCTGTGTAAGCCTGCGTGTTTATATAGGTCAGGATGTGAATACAGTAACTTAAAATAGTATTTAAAGGGGTTTCCTTGTGACCTCGGTGTCTTCATAAGTCAAGTTGATGTTTCATTTTTCCATAAGCCCCAGTGATAAAGGTCATTGTGTCACAGTATGAGCCACCCGATACATTTTTTTGCCCTTTAATTCTTGACACTTATAATGTTGTTGTTGCAGTGTTTCCATCTCGGGTTTTTACTTTTACGTGTACATACAGTATAGATACTGTAATGTTATAAAATTATCCTTTTGAAATGTCTTTAGTCTTGACCTGGACAAATGGATAAATGAAGCCCCAGATGACAGCTCTGATGAAGAAGTTCCAGGAAATACGTTTTTCTTAACAACGGAAGATGAACACCGGTATGTTTTTCTTTTTCCTTTCTGTCTTTACTTTTTTATAAAATAGGTTCTTCTTGACAAAATAGGATCAACACTGGTATGTTTTCTTTTATATGTTTACTTGTTTCTTAAATACTTTCTTCTTGACAGCAACCTTTGCCTTACTTGAGTCAAGACACACATATTCACATGCGAAGATTAGTCAACAGTCTTTGAATAACTAGATAATTTATAGTTTAAGTTTTCAGTCTGCTTTAATCTTGCTTGACGGTTTTCTGAATGCCTTTTACAGATCGTCTTACCAACATGGGGATGAATCAAGACCCACTTATGAACCCACAGAAGAAGAGCTTGAAAAGGTAATATGCTGAGATAGTTTAAATATTCCCTGTTTTTAATTGATCTCAGTGTGTTGAGATCTTCACTATTGGCAGCCCAAAGTCTCTTGTGGACGTTCCTCTGCAGCTGTTGCGAGGAAGCATTTAATGAGTTTTTAACTGTTAAAAAATGGCTGGAGTAGCCTTTTTCCTAAGCATTTGAGAGTTCAGAAGTCTTGAAGAGACTTTATGCTCAAGAGTTTTATGTATATATTCATTGTAAGAGCTAGTAATTGCTGGGTTAGCTTTTTTTCCCTAACGTTAAAAGTACATATATCTTGAAGAAATCACTGTCAGTGTTGTCATCTGTTAATGTATGCCTCATCAAAGATCAGGAAGGTGGTGGTGTGTCTTCCAGGTGTAGTTGCTTCGGCACCTTCATTAGTGTCTTACCACTTTCCTCCAGCTAATGCTAAAAATAATGGGTCATGAACTCTAGGGAATTCCCGGAAAAATCCTTTTAAAATAGCGATGTTAAACAGGTCAGTATTAATAAGTTGTTTTTTTTAAATACATTAAAAATGTTTCTTCTTTAAACTATTTAAAGATAAATTAAGAGAGTGATCGGTAAACATAAACAGGGTGAAGCATTAATTGGAATTTATTCCTAGTGTCCTTACAAAAAGCATATGTATATGGTAACTCATGCCTTGATCGCTGTGCTTATGGGAAAATTTGAGGTCAGCTTGGCTTTAAAAAAGCTGTTTGTCTCAAAGGAAAACCCCTTGCATTGTGTGCTCTGAACGGGTAGAAAGCATTTGAACATCGCACTTATCCTCCCTCACCTGGATCTACACACCTGGTCATGCTGGAGTGAAGTGTAATGTACAAGTGAACCAACTGGCTAGCAATGCACCAACGCATGTGGACAGAGCAGATATTATCAACACTGTACTAACTGGGCTAGAGGAAAATGATAAATCGGTGACACTAACACGATTGTGTGACATGGGAGTAAAGCATGGTGAAGCACTAGGCTGAGATAGGAGACATTATAACCAACCACTTATGGAAACAATCAGTAGAAATACTGTGGAGTGGTTGCTGCATGGGTGGGAGGACTGAGCATGCATGGAAATGCTCCATGTGCAGGGGTGTCAGTTGGGATAACATAAGTTAATAAATTTATATTTTCTTCAAACGTTTGGTGACACAAGAAAGCAGCCACTAGCATTAACTATACGTCTTGTAAACAAGTCATTTTAGACAAGTCAGAAAAGCGGCAGTTACAGGGAGTTGGACCCGTCCAAAAGTGTCGGTTTGCAGCATCAGTTGTTAGTGCTAACCTTGCCTTCATAACTAAATATCTCTTGGGTCTTTGTGATGGTTTCCATTTGTGTATCGGCATATTCTTTGCTAAATTTGATGCAACATTAGCCTGAGCTATTTCATTATTTAATGGCAAATAAAAATTCAACAGGCTTTCACTCCACAGCAGCTTTGACTCAGTTGCAGGCTTTGGGGGAAACAGGGAAAAGGGGGGGGGGGGGGGGAGGTTGTGTCAGGTCACCTACACTACAGCCTTCTTACTCAAAGACGCCTTCCAATGTTGATTTGTTTCTGTGGGGAAAAATTAAGATTGAACAAGTCTTTAACTCCTAAAGTGGGCTATGAGGGCTGTAACTGTCAAGGCCAAGTTGCTGTCTCAGTAGGACAGGCATTCATCTTCATCTTTCTGTGGAGTGTTAGCTGGTGGGTATAACAAGTTACACACTTTTGGCCTGCACTATTGCAGTTTGTTAGTTTTCTCCACTTAATAAACTTTTCAATGGCGTATCACTGTTTTGGTCATTAGATTGCATGCTGCAAACATATAACCCCATATGATTGACACGAATTGCAATGGAAATTTCTTTTAAACAGTTTATAGCTTATAACTGTTTTGAAATTACCCAAAGCAAAATAACAAGCTAGCTTAAACTCACTGTTGGACAGATACAACAATAGATGAATGAAGACTTGGATGGGAATTTTATTTCTAGAAATTTTGCATAATTTGGAATACAAGAAGATCTTTTCACAGATCACACTTGCTACTTCCTTTTTTTTTTTTTTTTTTTTTTTTTTTGAAAAGTTCAAAATTTAAGACAGAAAAGTTATTAGTGAAGAGAGATTTAATCTTTTACTGAAATTTCTTCGGTTTATGGACGATACCTTGGGACTGTGACATAGTCTGGATGAAAGAAAAATTAACAAACAATGGAAGTACTCAGGCGCACTCAATTATCGACTTGAAGTGTTAATAGTCCTCATACAAATTGTTTTACATGTATATTGTCTTCATCTCACCATATTTTTTCTGTGCTAATTATTATTTTATGTTTATGTAGCAAGGGCCTTACCATTTGTCCTTTCACAGAGAAAAGCTATTAGAAAAACAGAAGTGGAACACAATCCTCACTACCTGAAGGATGATGGCAAGGGACATAAGCCAAGACACAAAGACGCATTTGATGCCAAGGATATTCCGGTGGCTGAAATTGATCTTTCGGTGCCACTACATGTTCCAGGTATAGTCTTTTAAATACATAATTTATCCTTGTATAAGATGGCCCTATGTGTGATGTGACCCCATATTTTTTTTAGCCCAAGATTAAGAAGTAAATATTTTAAAGACATTATAACCCCCAATTTTAAGCTTAAAAAATTAATGAAAATATATACGGAAAAATTCATAACTTCTTTTTGTGTCTTTTGGTTATATCTGAAGGTATCTAACAATGTTCCAGGTATATAGTGTTTAAGTACATTTTTCTGTTTGTTTTGGTTATTTCTAAAGGTATCTAGGGTACAATGTTCTATGTATGTAGTCTTTTAAGTACTTTTTTTCTATTTGTTGTGGTTATATCTAAAGTAAAGTGTTTCACATATATAGTCTTTCTTAAGGATTCTTTTATTTATTCTGATTAGGCAGGGTATCTAGATACACTTGGAGCTGCCATGGCGTAGTGTCTGCGTGCTTACCTGGGGGTGTGTATTGTTGCGAATGTAAAAGAAATCCCTTGGCAATTGGAAATATAAAAAGAGAAGCCTAACAGTGTTTCCTGGGCAAAATTTTGAGTTAAAGATCTACCCAAAAAGTATTTCAGGATCCTCGCAGTGCAATGGAGTTCGTGCACTGTACTGAGATTCTTCAGACCCAGGCTTGAGTTAGAAGTAGAACAAAGCACTTATGTATGGGTTTACACCCGTGTGTCATGATGTTGATTAAAACTAAACTAATTGTAAATATGTAAGGTGTTACTGTTCTTTGTTTCCCTTATAAGGCCGAGTATTGCATGGTCAAAAAAGCAAAGTATTGTATCAGATAGGAAGGTATTTACTTTTGCGAAAACATATTCATCTTTTTATGGATTTGAATTCAGTATTTAAAATTTTAAAAAAGGCAGCAGACACATGCTCAGACCTACACTTACACAGAATGTTCTTATTTTTTGTATGTATTCTATCTACTTGAAACGTCATGGAAGTCTAGAGAGAACAATAATGGAGGGGTATATGCCTGGGAAGAGAGGAAGAGGAAGGCCAAGGAGAAGATGGGTGCAGGATGTGGCAGATGATCTCCAGATGGGTGTATCAGACGCAGGACATCTTGCTCAGGATAGGAAGGTTTTCCGGAGGGTTGTTATGGCAGCGAGGTTCCGCGAGGGACATGCTACTGAATGAATGAATTCTATCTACAGGTTTATCATCATCAGACAAGTACATGGTGCTTCAGCAGAAGACAGAGAAGGCTCACAAAGGCAAGAAGGAGAAGGGCAAGAAGAAAAAGAAGAAAGGCAAAGGTAAAACACAGGCAGAGGAGTCAGATGAGGATGAGGTTGCGGCAGTACATACAGTCAGCACAATTGTAGATGCTCCAGAGGTAAGAACAGAATTTGCCAACTGTATGTCATTTTAGTTGGATCGGGAGGAGAGGTGGGGGAAACCAGTAGAAAGGTTGTTAGACACTGTAGCATCATGGTATAAAGGTACATCTTCTGCATTTGCCTTTGAAAGGGCCGTTGGCATGTTGTGTTGGTTTTTACAGCTGGGCTGTGATGTCTGCACTTTTCAGCCCAACACATCCATTTTCAGCTAATACTTAATAGTTACCTTTTATGACACACTTGTTAAGGGGTAATTTATGTCGTCGTTCCCCAACCCAAATGCTGGTGCAGGAATCTACACATTGTGTGGGATATCTGAATCATTGAATCCTACTATCTTCTTCTTCACATTCGCCGGCTGTGACTGTAAACTGCAAGTTCTGGTTGTTCTTCCACTTTTGGATTTTAGTCTTGTTCCAGGACTTGATTTTTGCGTGCATATCCATTTTACAAATATAGCTTATTTTGTTTGCCAGGCTTTTGGTTCCTCGCCTCTCAGGTACATGCACTCTGGCTTTGAAAGAAATGCTCCTAATTAGTCTACTTATTTTTTTTGGGGGGGTGGGGGGGGGGGCAGTGAGTCTGTTCATTTTTTCACACCCCCCCCCCCCCCCCCCCCCCCCCCCCCCCCCCCCCCCCCCAATGAGGCTCAGAAACCCAAATTGGTTACATCCTACTGAATGATCTACTTCACTTTTCCTGTCCCCCAATATGCCCAAAGAATGTGGATAGTGTTTTTCTGATGCAAGTAACCAGTTCTCTAAGTCTGTTAATAATTTCTTTCAAGAGATCTTTATTTGCACATTTTATCTGCCTATGATGTTTTTAAGACATTTGTTTGTTTAAATCCTCAGTAAGAGCGAGAATATCTTTACTTGACCTGTGTGCCTCTGACTTTGTTTAAATCCCCAGTAGGAGCGAGTGTACCTCTGACTTTGTTTAAATCCTCAGTAAGAGCAAGTGTACCTCTGACTTTGTTTAAATCCCCAGTAGGAGCGAGTGTACCTCTGACTTTGTTTAAATCCTCAGTAAGAGCGAGTGTACCTCTGACTTTGTTTAATTTCCCTGGTAAGAGTGAGAATATTTTTACTTGACCAGTGTACATCTGACTTTGTTTAAATCCCCTGTAAGAGTGAAACATTTTTTACTTGATCAGTGTACTTTTTAAATAAATTGCAACACAACAATAGGTAGAAAAAGATACTGGCACTGGATATGGCACATGGAAATATCTTGATAGTATTACTGTAATGTATTTTCACTGAAACAGAGCGTAAAGAGGTAGGTGACCTAAAAACACACAGAGAAGAGAATCAGATACAGTGATGAAAATGGGGAGGGCATGGAGGGACCTGTAGGAGATGACAAGAGATAGGAAAGCTTGGCATGAGTTGATTGAGATCTTATCCTGTATTAGGGAATAAAGGCAGAAGTACAATCCAAAAAAGATCTTCTTGCATAATCTGGACATCAGATTGACAGTGAGAAAAAGAACTTGTCACTCACCTCCTTTGCTGCTTATCATCTTGCATAAGCTGGACATGAGATCATTGCCGGGAGAAAGACAAAGAAAAAGAACTGATTGCTTAACTCGATTGCTGCTAATTCTTTAGCAGTATCTGCTATAAGATTGTTAGCACTTTCTAAATAGATGCTTTTCACTCATTGCTGTTTTTTGTTGTTGTTGTTGTTGTTGTTAGTTTTGTTCCTATGTGCATACTGGTTTTATTTTAGTCATAAGTAATTAAACTAGTGATGTTATCTGTGGGTGTATTGTTGCAGGGCATGGCTGGGTCAGATCATGAAGATGATAAAAAGAGCGGTGATGTCTACAAAGCTTTGGATATTAACCTGGACGAGTAAGTGTAGTTTTACTCTATTCATCACAAACATAGCAGCCTTCTGTAGCATCATATGCCCACTGTGCCACTGATCTGAAAATTAATCCTTTGTTTTTCTTTTCTTCTAGTATTCTTAATCTTCTTAAATGCATAGGTCAGATGTACATAACAAGGACAGACAGACAGACACACACTAAACACAGCGGAAAAGAGGCCAGAGTTCAGCATAATCAGATGATGATCACATGAGAAACACACTATTGTTGTCATCTTCTTCTTCTTCTTCTTCTTCTTCTTCTTCTTCTTCTTCTTCTTCTTCTTCTTCTTCTTCTTCTTCTCCTTCTACTTGTTCTTCTCCTTCTTCTTCTTCTTCTTCTTCTTCTTCTTCTTCTTCTTCTTCTTCTTCTTCTTCTTTTTCTTCTTCTTCTTCTTCTTCTTCTTCTTCTTCTTCTTCTTCTCCTCCTTCTCCTCCTTCTCCTTCTTCTTCTTCTTCTTCTTCTTCTCCTTCTCCTCCTTCTTCTTCTTCTTCTTCTCCTTCTCCTTCTCCTTCTTCTCCTTCTCCTCCTCCTCCTCATTTACCAGTTGTAAACTCTGGCAGACAGTTCTGGTTAATCATCCACTTCTAGACTTTATTCTTGTTCCAGAACTTGAGTTTTACATGCTTATCCCTTTTACAGATCTAGCTTATTTGTCTGCAGACTGTTACTACCTCGGCTCCCAGGCAGATGCACTCTGACTGTGAAGGAAACCCCCCTAATTAGTCCCCTTCTGTGACCTGCTTGTGAGTGGGTCTGTTAAATAATGGGGCCACTAAACCCACACTGGGAACATAATCATTTTTATTCACTAGTCAGACTGGTATCCCTTTACTAGTGATTAAGTAAATATTTGTGAAAAGCTTTGCGTGCACTTGAAAACAAATTAGGCATTTGGTACTGACCTGAAAATTGTAGTGATTAATTATTACTCTGGAAAAAGGGGGGGGGGGGGAAGGGGGGTTCAGGACAGTATGATTATTGCTGGCAGCCTTTACTTATATATTAACAGTACACTGACAAAGAATACTATCAGCTGTAGCCATCCATGGTGCACAGTCATGTCTTTCTTCAGCATTTCGAACCCTCAAGCTTCGTTGCTGTAGATATCAACCACCTCTATTTGTCTCTGTGATTGGTCTTCTCTTTCCATTTAGTAATTCCAAGTGTTTTGAGGTCTGCATATATATTATCCTTCCCCAATCTTCTAAGTCTCCCTCATGGTCTCTTCAGATTCTAGTTGGATGGCAGCTTTCCGTCTTCCAGATGATAGTGTTATACTGTACTATGAGCAGGCATGGTGGTATTAAGAAAAGTCTTCCACAATTAGAGCATGAAATTTGAGGACCTTTGTTGCCATCACATGTATTTAGTGTGCATCTTCTCAAATGCGCAGCTCTCATCCTTTCTGCAGTCATTGTTTTCCTTCACTCTCATCCCCCCCCCCCCTGACTTGCCCCCTCCACACAATGTGGTCCATGGCATTTTGCTCCTACATTCCCATTCTACTGTGTTTGCATTTTTTGTCTTGCTGTTATCTGCTATTCTCTCATATGTCTCAGCCATCACAGTGTTAGCCTTTATGATGCCAGTAATTAGTGGTGATTTAAACATATTATGAATTTCAGTGCTGCTTCTCACTCTCCATTAACTTCTGTTTGCATTTTTGATGGGTCCAATGATTTGTCATAAGACTCTGTTCTCAAAAATGTGTAATAAGTCTTTGTCCCTTCTAGTTTTACTCTAAGTTTTAGAGCCATATAGTACATGTGATCTTATCTGTGTTATATAAATTGTGATCTTGATATTATGAGATAGAGCATTTGATTTTAGCAGATGTAGTGCATAGTGTGCCTTATTTATAGGTTGTATTCTGGACTATATAACTTCTCTTTGTGTATTAGAGCAATGAAAGTGTGTGCCAGGATTTGCCGTTTGAAAATTGTATTCAATATGTTTTTGAAATTGTTGTTAGACATATACAAAATTTGTTTGTGAACTTCTTTCAGACCTCTGCGAGCTGATGAAGTGTTGCCTGTGAGAACCCACCATATTGTAACAGATGGTTTAAAGATTTCAGAAGAAGGTACAGGCGAAGAAAAGACCAAAAAGAAAAAGAAAGATAGAGATAGGAAAGGAAAAGAGAAGGAAAAGAAGGGAAAGGTATGCATGTTTTGTATTGTCATTATATATTCAGTTATTATTTGCTAGATTGCACCAACATCCTATACGATCTGGGCATGGAGAAGAATTTGCTCATAAACAGCATCATCTGCCAAAAGCTGGGGCATTTTGGCCATGTTAAGTATCACAGCGGTCGGGAGAGAACGCCAGTGGAGAGTACAGTTTCCAGAAAATGAGACAAAGGGCCATAAAGGTGAATACAGAACATTAAAGTTGCATTGAGTATAAAAGCTCATGGGGCTGGAGAGAGAGAAAAATGCCATGATGCTAGATACAGGACACTAAAGAGGCATTGGCTATAAAAGCACATGGGCCTAGATCATAGGCTGGAGAAAGAGAAACATGTCATGATGTTCTGTAAAGTACCTGCAGATTGATGATGATGCCCAGCTTGCACCATTTAAATGTCTCTGTTATTTAAGTAAAAGTGAAGGCCCCTTGTCCACACCTTCAGGTGTATTGGGTATATAGGGTCAGACCCATATTTTATAGACCAGTCAGCACTTGGTGGATGATGTGGGCAGCACCACGCCAGCTGCTTGTACTTCCCAGGACTTTACCTTGTACCTGTTTAAAGCTGTGTTGACCCGAAAGCAACGGTTATTTTTTGGAGAAAAAAAAGTCCGGCTGCATTAGGACGTGTGATGTAATAATTAAATTATATAACATTACAGTAGTATTGATAGAAAATATTGGTAAATATAATCATACCCACTGTGTCTACACACTGTGCAGTTGCAGTCAGTATCAAAGTTGTCATAGACATGCACTAGGCACTGTGCACAGATGTCAGCCAAAACCCCTACAACTGGTAAAACAGCTTTTATAACCAAGTTACATATATTTAATTATTACGTTATTTCACTTTTAAACTATGCCAGTGACAGTTTGAGAAACACTAACGACGTGGAATGACAGTTAAGTGCATTCAAAAACAAATGTGTAAGGAAATTGATGAATATTAATTAAGATGAATTCAAGAAAGATACAAAAATAACAGAAATATCCGGACAGGGCAACAGTTATAAGAGTAACAGGGTGACAGGTTTGATTGCCGACATGGTAACTATCTTCTTCTTCTTCTTCAGCATTCCCAGCCCTTGAGGTTCATTGCTGCAGATATCACCCGCCTCCGTTCATCTCTCTGGTTGGCCTTCTCCTTTCACTTGATGACACCAAGTGTTTGCAGGTCTGATTGGATATTATCTCTCCACCATCTTCTTGGTCTGCCTTGTGGTCTACGACCATTCATCTCCCTTATATATACAGTTTTTTTACTTCTCTGTCATCTAACATTCTTTCAATATGCCCCAACCATTTCAGTCTTTAAGCTCTCATGATGCCAGTGATCAGTGGTGATTTAAACATATTGTGAATTTTGTTGTTGCTTCTCACTCTCCTTTCACCGCTGTTTGCATCTTTGATGGGTCCAAAGATTTGTCGTAAGACTCTGTTTTCAAAAACCTGTATTAAGGCTTCATCTCTCTTAGTTATGCTCCAAGTACTATAGCTTTTGATTTTTATGTTATCTAGTGTGTTCTTCTATCTTTCTACTTCTTTCTATGAGTGCCGATCAGTACATTTTCTGTTACTTTATTAATATATAATTTCAAACTACCTCAAGGGTTCCCCCTCTGTTTATTTATGGAAATAACGTATACACACCAGAACCTACCCATCAAATTCCTTTCTTAAATGTTTGTGAATTCTAGACAAAGCATTAAGGTCTACTGTGTTGCTCTGTTATATTAAGAAAATCTTGGGAAATTAGACAGCTATAGGAAAGAGAATATGATTTTTTTTTTGTTAGAGGAAATAAGTGTGGAGACTGCAGTGATGTTTGGGTTGTTAATTATGATATGGCACGGAATGGCAAGTTGAACTTAATTCAAAGTTCAGCGCACCACATCATCCGTGATGTGCTACAGTACCACTACACCTCTTTGGTGCACGTCACAAGGAGGGCGGCCATCTCTAAACTGTCATTATGATGTCACTGTTTTCCTCAGCCAACAGCTTTCCTGCATGAGGCCTTCAGCAGCTACATTTGACTCTGTGGTCACTACTCAGTGTTCTTGAGCCGGTCTTAAACAGTATGTCACAGTAGTAACAATGTTCTGAAACTTCTTACTACTTTATCTTTATAAACTGGCAAATGTTGTGCCTCTCCCATCTCAGTTAAAAAACTAATGATGGTTTCATTGCCTTTGTATCGCTTTTGCTAATAGAAGGACAAGAAAAAGCGCAAGAAGTCAGAAAACAAGGATGATGTGCCTACTCTTCTCATAGCTGAGTCTACTGAAGTTCCAACTGTTCCAGAAAGCTCGGCAGCAACAATAGAAGAAAGCAAAGAAAAAGATCAGAATGAACTCACCAAACAGGTACTTTTTTTTTTTTAATTAAAATTTACATAACATCATCACAAAGTTCAATATGATACATGTGCTGTGTTTGCCAGGCCTACAGCCAAATGCATCCTCGGTTGACAGGTACCAGGGGGTTTCAAGTAAAAACCTTTAAAGCTATTTTTAAACTGTGATTATGATGTCACCATGTTCATCTGCATCGTGGTATCACATGCTTAACATTCTTGACAATCTTAGCATCAGTATTGGCCAGTTACGAGACAGTAGCTTGGTTATTGTAAATTCTCTTACCCTTTTGAGGATTTCATTTAAAGACACATTGATTCAGAGAATCAAATGGTTTGGTCAGATAGAACAAAGCCAGCCTGCAACTAG